GATGTAAAAACCGGTATAAGCATTGTTAGCATCACTTGATTGCAAAATTAAATTCCAACCAACATTATTTTTTAAACAGCATTTAAAATGCTTTAAGGAGTTTTCATTGATCTGTCGCCGAAATATTGTGGATTTTATAGCAATATTGTTAATTAAAATGTTATTGGTTGCTAAGAATGTTGGAAAATGATCCGATAAATCAGTCTGAATTATACCTGTGAAAAGAGGACTATTATAAAAACTGTTAGCTACGATGTTATCAAGTAGAGTAGAAGACTTTTTTGTAACTCTAGTTGATTTGTTTATTGTTGGAATAAAGTTATTTTCTAAAAGAGTATTCATAAAAATCTTAGTATTATTATTAGTAGCATAGTTAATTAGGTTGATGTTAAAATCCCCGACCAAATAAATATGTTTCCTGGAATTTTTAACTTTGTTTAGAAATGTTTTAAGATGAGTTTTAAACTTTTTCATGTTACCAGATGATGGTCTATAAATATTATTTATAATTATGTTTTTTTCAGTTTTATTAACTAATTCAATGCATATTGATTCACAATCTGTTTCGTTAACACAAAAGTCGTTACGTAAAATATAATTAAGTGAATCGTGGATAAAAATACTAACGCCCCCACCTGCATTAAATTCACGTGGTTGGTGAATTGATGCGTAATTAACTAGATCAAATTCTTAATTTGTTTCACCACTTTTACACCAAGTTTCGGGCAGACATATAATTTTAAAATCGTGTTTAAGTTCATTTAAGAATATTTTCAAATTTTCAAAGTTTTTATTCAAACTTCGAATATTTAAAATTGAAAAAATCGAATATTTAAAAAAATCGAATATTTAAAATTGAAAAAGTGCTTTTATTTTGTTTAAGATGTTGCGAACATTCAGCAACGGAGTAATATTTACTTTCTAACATTTTGTGATTAAGATAATTTGAGTCGTTGTCATAATCACCGAGAATGTCATCCGAAAATTTAATTACAGTTTAATTTAAAATAAGTAATAGTAAAAATAAAATTCCGTTAATTAATGAAAAATATTATGAAGATGAATTTTTGTTTTTCTTTTCAACCCAATCGTAAATTATCAATTTATCATAATATATGTATGCAAACTTACCAGCTGCTCGTTCGATTTTCATTTTTTCCCTCAAACCTTTCCGGATTTGCGTTATTTCAGAACAAAAATCCTCGTTTATAAATCAGAACAGAAATCCTCGTTTACATCGATGTTTTTTCCTTTCAGATTGGTCGACTTGCTCAAAATTGCAACTTTATCTTTAAAATCCAAAAGTTTTATCACTATTGTTCTCGGCTTACTTGATTCTTTTTTCCCAGTTCTATGGGCCCGTTCAATTTGGACATTTTTAACAGATAGTAATTCTTCAAAAACTTTTTTTACCTTAAGTTCGCTTTCCTCCCAGCTTACACCTTCATTTTCATTAATTCCATCCACTCTTAAATTATTACGTCTCGATCGATCTTCTATCTCCCTTAACCCTTTTTGTATGTGTATAATTTCTGAATTGTCTTCTTTACTGAAAACATTTGCTTTCTTAACTTTTTCATCAATTAGTTCTTCATGAAAATTTAAACTATGCTTCAATTCTTCTATATCTTTTTCAACTTTTTCCAATCTGCCATTAAATATTTTTAAGTTTCCACTAATAATGTCGATAAAAACTTTTTCCTGTTGTTTTAACATCAATTCGAATTCTTTTTTATAGCCTTCAAACAATTTTGGTATTTCTGATAATGTAACAGCCCATGGCCTACTTAAATTACACGGCCTGATTTGTTGCATTTTCCGTAAAAAATTAAGAGGCCAGTTTTTTTACGGCTCAAGTATAAAAACTTAATTTTTGTTATGGTTAAGAGTCTTGTTTGCACCATAATTGTTTTATTTTTATTTTATTAAAATGGTTTAATAATAGTTAAATTTTCTTTGAGTACTTACATTAATTTGTTGCTAGATTTTCTGTTAACTGATTGCCTGCTTCAGTTTATTCCAACAACACAGAATACTGAAATAGGCTTCCAGATAACTATATCAACCCATACCAACATGCTACTAAAAATAATCTCTCATGTTGCTTAGATTGCCTAAAACTCTCCATTGAGAAAAAAAAAGGTTTGTAGTTTTGTAATTTTTATAATTGAAATAAAAACATTTTTATTTCGATTATAAAAAATACAAAAGAAATAAGAAAGAAATACATTTTTGCTAGAAATGTTTATTTTGTCTTTTTTGGAATTCTTTTACTTGATCTTTTTTAAATGAAAATTTAATTTTTTTTTTGCAAATTACTATAAAAAATATAATAATATTTTTTATATTAATTTGCAATACAATACGAGATCTATATTTGATTCCCATATTTGGTGGTTTTTATTTGTAAAATTGAAACTGCTAGATCAAATCTTTAAAATTTGTTTCGCAAATTTTTAATTAAAAAAGAATGACTGCAATGTTTTATTAGAATAAGAGAAATAACATAAAATACTAAAAAGATGACAAATAAAATTAGACAGAGGTTGAATTGAATATAAAGGTTCTTCTCTTTATAAAGTAATGTTTATTGATCATAAGTTTAACATCAAAATCTTTTTGTTAATTTTTACCATTATTACTTGCTTTAGTATATATATATATTTGTGCTATCTTCAGAAAGCTGACAGTAGTATTTATGTAGACAACTAAGCAATATCTTGCATAAAATTTTTTAAGGATTATCAAAATTCTGGTAAATATTTTCTGGGAAAATCTGCCAAAATCTTTTTACTTATGCACATTTCTAAAAGGCTCACTAAAAGTCTACTATTGGGCATTTAACTATACTTGTAGTGTTGTAATTAGAGCACAAGAAGTTTGTTTGGTTAATGTCAGGTATTTATAAAATTTTATTTTGATCAAATTTCAGTACAATTTGTAATTTCTCTATAAAGTGTGGGTTTGTTATCACCTTTCAAAGCAGCATTGCTGAGTTTGATTAGATGAATTAGGTGTCTGCTTTAAATTAAGTATGATAAATAACTTATAAAACAATGATAATTGTGCTGCGTTATTTCTTTCATAAAAATAACTCTAACTTAGCAGTTGTAGCTGCAGTTGTTTTGTCAAATATTGTCGATGTTGACAACTTGTTTGTTGTTACCAAAATATGTGATTTGATAATTAATTTTTCTTGCTTTTTCTTGCTTGCTTAATAAGTGATCTTTTAATAAACTTTAAGAAATATATTCCCTGCAATGTAATCAGCAGTAACTTCAACAAGAAGAAAAAAACAAAAACCGAGTTTATCAAATAACAAGTATATTTTAAACACTCTTTTTCTAAACTAAACGATGAATTAATAATTTTCCATCTCCAGTATATGCTTTATGAAACTATAAAAATGCATTAACATTTGTAAAATGGTTATTGGTAACAATAGTTCTTATCTTAAACTCAGATTGGTGCATTGAGGTAATACACTCATCAATTTCTTTTTTCAAACATAAACCTGTTATGTAAACTTTAGGTTATGATTTCAAAACATAAGAATAAATTTTTGAAGCCCTATAATCATAATAACAAAAACAAATTCTTTATAAAGATTGTTTTCTCAATCTTCATCAAATTGTTTACCACTTTGGGCTGCTTTTTGGAAGTACACCTTACCCACAAGAAGCAAATAATCTCTTAATACCAAATTTTTGTCAATGATTTTTCTAATATATTATAGTTTTTCAATTTGTATTTTTTACCACTGTGAAACCATTTAAATAAAGAAGAATGATAACCATTTATTTGGCAATGAAAAAAATTAGAACTTTATTAACAGCTATTGACTCTAAAACAGTTGGTATGCCTGATATTTCTTGGCTACTGTAAATAAATAGCCTGATTTGTTACATTTTAATTGCTGTATGTTTGAGACATGTAGCATAATAAAATATTTACAATGCAAATTCTTGTTTTGCAGTGTAAATAATTTAAAGAAAAGTTTATGTTTTCTACTTAATAATTGAAATTATAATAAATACAAAATTACAAACCTTTAAAATTATTTCCAATGGCGAGTTGTGGGTACTTTTAGCAATATGTAAGATTATTTTTAGTAGCATGTTAATATGTGTTGATATAGCTATCTGAAAGCCTATTTCAGTATTCTTTGTTATTGGAATAAACTGAAGCAGACAATCAGTTAACAGAAAATCTAGCACAAAATAATTTATGTAATCAAAGAAAATCTAACTAATATTAAACCATTTTAATATAAAATAAAAATAAAACAATTATAGTGCAAACAAGACTCTTAACCATAACAAAATTTAAATTTTTATACTTAAGCCGTAAAAAAAACTGGCCTCTTAATTTTTTACGGAAAATGCAACAAATCAGGCCGTGTAATTTAAGTAGGCCATGAACAGCCATATTATATAAAAAATGAATTGATTTCTTAACGAAAAATAAATAAAATATACTAAAGATTTAAAATTTATACAGTTTTTTCTTTAATGTTTAACGCTGCAAAAACACGTCTGTTCATCAAGAAAAACCTCTAGACGTTGTTTGTATTTGGTCATAAAAATTTAAATGGAAACCTGTTTTAACTATATGGAAAAAATCACTTGCAGATTAAAAAGCAAAACTCTTCCAAAGGACAACTATCAAGCACTTATAAAGTACAGAAACTAATAAAACTGGTAAAAATTTAAAGTCATTTTTCTGCCTAGCGCGGAAAAATTTGGTTTGATAAAGACTAGTGTTTGTAATTCAATGGTTTCAATAAAAACAATATAAATTGAATAATATAGTATTAATTATTTGAATAATAATGACTTGAAATATGATTTTACAAATACACATATTTAAATAAAATAAAAGAAAATTTTCTGTTTCAATTATATTATTATGGCAATTATCACCCAGTTGATCTATTTCAATCAACGAGTTGAAATCTATTACGTAATGGACTGACTTAATATATAAAAAAAGTCACTTACATCATAATTGATAACTTCTGGTGTGTTCTTAAAAGAAAATATACCGTCATGTACATTCAAACTTTTCATCCATTTGTTGCTTGCAACATATGGTGCACAGCAGTAAAGCAGATTTTCATAATCAGAATAAACAATATAATTTGTTGTGCGGTTCCGTTTGCGAGAATTCTTTTTACAGTAATTAAATAGTTCTCTTTTTCTCAAAACTTGAAGTTGCAGAGTGTCAGAGTGGTTCCAAATTTCATTCTAAAAGAAATATTTAATTTAAATATATTTTACAAATTAGCAAACATTATCTTTTTACATAGTTGAAATTACTTAAATAATGTAAATTGTAGTTGAAAAGTAGCTAAGATTGTTTTTATTGTTGTCTCAGGTTGTTTTAATTGCTGACTAAGGTTGTTTTTATTAATGTGCTAGAACTTGGTAAATTTGAGAAGCCGAGAAATTTTAAAGAGCTTTTTCTTTGGTAATTTTTTTATGGTAAGTTGCTCGGCGTTTTAAAAAGAGGGCGGAAGTATAATCGAACAGGAGTAATTCTTATTATTGTATTCCTACTTTACAAAGTATATTTTGTCTGAACACGTCATAGTTGCTTGAGTTTAAATTGACTATTGAATTCAAACAAATAAGTAAAATGACATAACAAATAAACTACATCCAATTATATATATATGTATATACATATATATATATATATATATATATATATATATATATATATATATATATATATATATATATATATATATATATATATATATATATATATATATATATATATGTGTATATATATATATATATATATATATATATATATATATATATATATATATATATATATATATATATTTATATATATAAATATATATATACATATATATATATATATATATATATATATATATATATATATATATATATATATATATATATATATATATATATATATATATATATATATATATATATATATATATATATATATATATATATATATATCGTCAGAACCTTATACAAGTGTAAACAAAGTATTAGGTTATAAAGTAACTATAAGTACAAAATAATAAAACATACACATATCACTTTGTAGTATACGTAAAGCTTCATAAATATTTTCATAACATAAATATTATTTTTAAATTTTGATAATATAGGAGAGTAAAAGATTTTTCAGCTTAATTTTAAAAAGATGCAAAGAAGTAGGTAGATTTAAATGAAAATTAGGCAAAACAAATTTATTCCAAAAGTGGGGTGCGCAATAATTAATGCAAAATCGGGTAAATTTGTTCGACAATAGAGCTCATATAGAAGGTTGGTATTTCTCAGAGAGTATTTATTGGTAGGCTTTAAGGTAAATAGAACATTAAAAGTAGCAAAAGAAAGATTATTTTTACATATATTAAGGAGGTATAATGTAAACTATTCTTTTATACCTTCCTCCATATATATACAAAGCATAAAATGTTAAAAACATTGAGTTCTTAAATATTGTGTTCTCATTTAAGAAAAAAGTTGTTTATAGTGAGAAAACGATAAGCAAAACTAATTACGCGTATTGCATATTTCTGACGGCGATAAAGAGATTGTAACTTTTTTCAGTGCTTGCCCAAGCAATGTTTGCATAACTAATATAGCTATGAATGAATGCATAATAAAGTTAGGATAAAACTTTTTCATTTTTGTAGATTCTGGCTTTATAAAGAATAGATTTAAATGACACTTGAAACTCCTGAAATGATAGCTCAAAAGATAATTCATTCGAGCAATTTTCCATCGGTGTTTAAAAGTTATTGAACACAACGTGGATATTAGGAATTTTGTTTTCCAGTTTTTCCAAAAAATATATAACAGCTATTTGTCGATTTTCAGTAATTTGAATACCAAGATCCGGTTCAGAAGTTGTTAAAGTTTATAATATTGTAGCTTGTACATGTAGATGTAGCATTGTATTTTTCGAGGATTTCTCCATCCTACGTGCGTTAGTCCATATTTGTCAACTTTAAGCCGCTTTTTGTCGGCTTTTTTATCTATTTTACAATTTAGTTAAGGCCAGTTTGTAACGTGTTATAGTCATCTTTCACGTCTCCAGAACAAATTAAGACAAAAAGATTTAATATTGTCAACATAAAGATTATATTTGATTTAGATTCATTGGAAGATTATCTTTAAATATTGCAAATAGTGTTATTGCTATTGCTAAACCTTGCTTGATTAGTCTTCCACAATTTGCTTTTTTCTTGCGACACTTTATTTATTTCTATTGTAATTTAAAGAACGGTTTTTTTTTAAGTATTTTGATAGTTTCACTTTTTTTTTTGTATTCATTTTCAGCTGACTGAGTGACGTAAGGAATATTTTTTAGTGGCTGCTCTTTTTTACTAGTTCTGCCTAATTTATTTTTTCAATTCTGTTCTTATATGTTTGTTATTAACTTTTGCGTATTTCAGCTTTTTGCTTGTGAAATGTTTTCTAGTTTATGGATTAATAAAAAATCTCATGTAAAAACTGCACGAAACTGCTTTGTTGTTAGAAGTGTTGCTTCTGCTACTTAGCCATTACTACAAAATTTGTTATCGCAGATTACTAGATCCTAGATGCAACCAGTTACGAGAGTGTTTAGAATTTTACCTAAGCTATTTTCAGGGCGAGTTATGTTGCTACTTTGTTAGGAAACCATTTTATATATGGGAAATCTCCGGCTAATATGAACGAGCAGTAAAAGTGTGTTTTGATTGCTTTTTAGGCGGTCCGCAGACTTAGGTTTGAATGTGCATAAGTACTTTTAACCTGGTATTTTTCTAGAGAAGGTATGTAAATGCATCCTACTAGAATTGTTTTTATGACGTAGACAGATGAGTTTTAGTGTATAGGAAACAAAACAGGACAAAGGATAGAACCTTGATGTACCCAGAAGTTACTATAAATGAAGAAAAGTGTTGGCCTTTGAGGATGACTTTAACAATGCGGTTAGAAAGATAAAATTTGATAATCTTAAAAACTTTCCTAAATAGATAATCTAAGACACCATAATAAGCAAGCTAATGCCTTATCATGCTAAAATTTTTTAAAAGTTTTAGCTGTCAGATAGAGCAATAGCCCTAGCCTCGCGAATAAACTCCTTAAGTCAAAGCTGTAAAACAAAAGAATTGAAAATCGTGTTAATTTTCTGACAGTAAATTATTTGACTTAGAACGAGATGTTAGAAACTTGTTGATCAAAGACTTTGCTAAAAACGGAAAAAAGACTGATCAAATAATAATTGGAGGGGTCAAAATGTTCTCAGGATTTTTTTAAAAATAGTAACAACAGATGCCATTTTCCAACAGGAAAGATAATAAGATTCAATTAAGCCTTATTAAATAGTTTAAAAAAAATTGAAGAGAGTTCTGGAATACACTTTTGTAAGACTATGACAGGAATATTTTCTGTACTACAATCCGTAAAAGATTTCAATGGAGATATGACTTTTGCATCGGAAAGAGTATTAGTTGTGGTATTAGTTGTTGAGTAGTAATTGAAGTAGAACTTAAAGCACTTTCTGTGAAAAAAATATGCACAAACAACCTTAAAATTTCAACTGAAATTACTGTGAAACGAGCGCATCGAATTGAATTGTATAAAGAACACAAAACACCAAAAACTATCGTAGTGAAACTATTAAACTACCAACATAGAATTAAAATTTTAAGTTCACTTAAAAAAGACTTTGAAGACTTTGCTAAAGAGACGATGGAAAAGAGAAAGAAACTTTAGGAAGAAGTCAAAAATCTTCGCAACCAAGGTAAATACGCAACAATTAAATTTAATAAAGTTTTTTGTCGAGAATTTAGGAAATAAGGAAAAAAAATTTTTGCGTATAATTAGGAAAAAGTTTTATTCTCTTGACTAATGACTAAACAAACAATACATTACGAAACGCAACACTTTAATGTTTTCAAATCAGCTAACAACCTTTTACGTAATAACTCTTGCGATCCAGATTTGCATTTTTTAATGAAAATAATTTTAATTCGCGGTTTTTTGAATTAGGAACTTTTAAAAATGAATTAAAATCATTAAATAATAACTTTACGGTGATACAACTAAATATAAGTTGTATAATTAACAATATTTACAAACTAAAAATAAAAAAATAAACACACAAAAAAAGGTCCTCTAAAGTTTTTGGGGGCCCTAAAATTTGCGGGGCTCGGGGTTATAGCCCCTCTAGCCCGCTTGATCCGGGACTCCAAGTTTCTGTTAAACAAATTATACTGAACAAATAATTACATTCTATAAGCAGTGCCGGATCAAGGGGGACTAAAGGGGGCTATAGCCGCGGGCCCCGCAAATTTAAGGGGCGCCCAAAAATTTTAAAGGACCTTTTTTTTTTTGTTTGATTTTTATTTTTAGTCTTTTTTACGCTTTGGCCCATAAAAAGGCCTCCAAAACAAAAATAGCCCCGGGCCCCAAGAAGTCTTAATCCGCCACTGAAACTTGGTGTTCTGACGAATCATCCAGAATAAATTCAAACATAATAATTCCAAACTACAAACTATTATCTTATGAGCGAAAAGTTCAAAAACGAGGAGGTAGAATTATGATATACATTCATTATGATCTGACAACTAAAGTTAGAGACGATCTTTTGGTTTTTGATGCCGATGGTTAGGTCTTTACAATTGAAATAATAAACAAAAAATTAAAAAATATACTAGTGCCCTCCTGTTACAGACCACCCGAAGGTAATATAAAAAACTTTTTAAATCACCTAAAACAATTATTTCTAAAAAATAACAAAGCGCACAAAATACTATTCTGTATTGGTGACATAAAAATAAACTGTCAACAGTACAGTAAAGATGCTGTTACCAAAACTTTTTTTGACGATATGCTTCAACAATACATCTTTCCTATAATAAACAAACCAACCCGGGTAACATTAAATTCAATCACTGCAATAGATAACATATTGACTAATTCATTTTATGATTTTTTATTAAAAGCTGGTGAATGAAAACGGATAAATCCAATCACTTTCCGATATACTTTCCCTTTTTTCAAGATACAAAAAAATGTTAACTCTAAAATCAAATTCTATGAACGAAAAATTAATAATTTTACTATTCAACAGTTTAAAGACTCACTATCTGCAGTGAGGTGGGGCAGGATTAACCAAGAATGCAATCTTGGGCATACTAACTCCGCTTATAATCAATTTATAGAAATATTCTTAAAGCACTATGATAATCACTTTCCTATAATAGAACAAGAGTTAAAAGAAAAATACTTTAAATTAAGTATTTAAAAAATAGAAATGAAAAAAAAAAAATTCTTACAAGCAATACAAAATTTATTTGAAAAAATAAAAAAAAGTTCAAAGAAAAATTACTACTCGAACCTAATAAGAAATGCAACTGGTGACATTAAAAAAAAAAGGAGTACTGTAAATGAAATAATTGGAAGCAAAAAAGTTAAATCAAATAGTTTACCTGCTCAAATCGTCATAGAGAATATAGAATGACAAAAAGACAATAGACAATATACAGTGACAAAAATACAATAGCTAAAAAATTCAACGAATTTTTTTTAACATAGGCCTTAATCTTTCCTCAAAAATTAAGTCTCCTAATAACTCAATTAAATCATACCTAAGTGATACCCAGAGCGAACTAAAATACAAAGAATTAAACTACCAAGAACTTAATGTTGATCTAAATTCCTTAAAATTAAATAAAACTCCAGGTATAGATGATAGCTGTAGTAGGGTAGTGGCAGATGTCTTTACAACGGTAAATAAACCTATATTTGAAATTTTTAAGTCTTCGATTAAAACAGGAGTTGTACCGGACAAGTTAAAAGTAGCTAAAGTTCTACCAATATTTAAAACAGGTGAATCATAATTAATAAATAACTATAGAACTATCTCTATCTACTCCCTACCTTCTCAAAAGAATAATCTATAACAGATTGTATGAGTATTTAATCCAAAATAGAATCCTAAATAAAAAGCAATTTGGTTTCCAAAAACAATATTCAACTGAAGACGCAATCCTAGATCTAGTTAACGATATAAGTGATTGATAAGAAATAGTTTGTTCTAGGTATCTTTATATAACTGTCAATAGCGTTTGATACTGTAAATCATAATATCTTTTTTAAAAAAATGGAAAGCTATGGAATAAAAAACATAACCCTTGACTGGTTCAAAATCTATCTAAGTACCAGACAACAATGTATTTTTTCAGATAATTATAAACACTAAGATAATTATAAACACAACAATGTATTTTTTCAGATAATTATAAACTACTAAGAGTTGAGTGCAGTGTCCTTCAAGGTTCCATTCTTGGACCGCTTCTGTTTCTTCTATATATTAACAACCTTATAAAAGCCTCGGAAAAACTTGGTGTAATTATGTTAGCCGATGACACAAACTTATTTTATTCATCGAAATCAATCAAAGACCTTTATGAATGTATGAACAAAGGTCTTGAAAGATTAAATTTATGGTTGAAATTAAATAAGTCATCACTAAATACACAAAAAAACAAAATACAAATTGTTTCATTCCAAAAAACAAAAAAATAATATACCAACTACCCTTACCTCACTAAAAATAAATAAGGTAAACATTGAAAGAACAGAAACAACTAAATTTCTTGGGATACTAATTGACAATAACATATCTTGGAGAGCCCATAGCACAATAAACACCAAAATTTCAAAAAATATTGCGATACTCTACAAAGTTGAACCTATGTTATTCCAACAAAATCTTAAATCGTATTATTTTTCTGACATCCAAAGTTATCTTACGTACGCTAATATTACATGGAAAAGTACACACAAATCAAAATTGAGTAATATTTACATAAGTCAAAAACATGCATCAAGATTAGTTTATAATAAAGATAAACTCACCCACGCTGAACCCTAACTAAAAATCTTGAATGTACTTAATGTTTACCAAATCAACTATAATGTACTATTTATGCTTAAGTACAGACTTGGACTAGTCCCATCGCATTTTTTAGATAACTTCTTTCAAGTAAACTTTAATAGGTATATAACAAGAGCAACAGGCAACTTCACACTACCCAAAAGAATAACAAAGGTCTCACGGTTTTCTATTTCCTACCGGGGTCCGTATGTATTTAACAAAATTATATACAAAAGTATTAAGTAATGTATTAAATACATAGTAAATAAAGTATTAAATTAGCCAACTTGAAAAAAAAAATTAAAACACCTCATACTTAATACCAACAGTTATATCGACATGTATTAAACTTAGCATTAAAATTTATACTAAAATATTTATGTGTATCACTGATTGTATATTGTTTAACCACTTTTGACTATATATAAAAATGAAATAGACTTTATTTAACCATTTAAAGAGGTATTCGATGATAAGTCTTCATAGACTTCAACGAGTTTTTATTGAGGTAACTACTATTTAATGAGGTAACTACTATTTAAAAATATTCAAATATTTTTAACGTTCTTTACTTTATTTACATATGTGAAGTAAACTTTCAAAGCCTATCCTTTCAACATTTATATGCAATAAAACCGAAAAACAAATATGACGTAAGAAATGACAATCTTATTCATCAACATTATTTGCAAACAAATTTTGGAAGGTCTCTTGTATCATATCGCGAAGCTTTTCTGTGGAACCAAATAGTTTAAAAAAATTTTGATTTCTTCCAAAGCTAGAATTTTTCTACTTTCAAAAATAAACTGAAAAGTGTTATTTTCTCTGTAGATAATATATATTCGAGTTCTTTTGATCTCGTTTCTCTTTTATAAGTGTTATCTAAATGTAATTTAAAATATTTGACTTGATTTTTATTGTTTTGTTAAACGGTATTTAACAACTATTAATAAAGAAATCGTAATTTAAACCATATCATATTTGTATGTATGTTTTCTTTGTTTCATTTATTTCGTTTTCATTTTTTTTTGAAATAACTGGTTTACTATTATTATATTGTTAAACGGTTCTCGGTGACAAGATCTTATGATCATCTTCGAGTTTCCGTGTTCTCATTTATTATATATAACAACATATTACGAGAAAAAATTGTTAAAATTGTTAGAAGCTGCAGAAACTAATATATAGTGGAAACTTTTCACAATAAATGTTGCAAAAAATGGTCGCATGAAAAAAAACTTTTTTCTTCACTGTTTAAATATATTAGGTTAAAAGGTGCTGTTACAGTTAAAAAAAGGGAGAAGGAAGGAAAACTATTCCGTATAACCTTTAAGAAAAAAGTTTTATAAACTCGTTTTTTTGGATTGTATTTATAACTTAAATAAACTTTCTTTGTTCTGAGCATCTAAAACCAGAAATAAATTTCACAAGCAAGCGACCAAATATTAATATTATATAAAAAGAAAAATACTCTTCGACAACATTTTCTTACTTTTCGAAAACTTTAATTAAAATATTGCTTTTATAAAAAGTTTTATTTTAAAAGTGTTTTTTAAATTAAATTAATTTTATAAAAAGACACTGAAATAAGCAGGAGTCAACATAAACAATTAAGAAAATTTGATGTCTTAATTGATAAGAAAAAAGCAATAACTATTTTGAAAAAAATTTAAACAAAATCAAGTTTTTAAAATGTGTTTTTTTTTTTTAGGAAAAAGTTTAGTATTTCTTTATTTCTTTTGCTATTTTAGTATATTTATTTTTCAAATTTTTTTTAATTTTTTACGGCTAAACGCGGAAAATAAAACCGTAAGCCAGGCTAAAACCCTGATTTATTGTAACACTTACATCGATGTATGTATTTGTAATAATTTAAAACAATGATTCATTTCATATTTAAACTTGTTTTTTAAACAATTTCTTTATAACAAATACTACAAAACGCAATATGTATGCAGCATAAAATTAAAAAAAAAAAAATTACTTTTTGATAAAACATTTTGTTGTTGCAATGAGTTTCATTTTTGTGTGAATTAAAAATTAGTGCAGCTGTTAAGAAGCAAATACTTGACACAATTGCAGAAATCAAAATGGCTAACAGCAGTTTTCTCCTTTTTAGAACGCACATGTATAAAAGATTTCAAAGTTTTCGTTAAACATCTTTTAGAACATTCGTTGATTTCAAAATATTTTTTTCACATCTTTATATAAATTTCTTTTATTATTAATAATTTTTTTTAATAAATTCAAAGAGTATACTGATAATTTTAAAAGGAATTCAAACAATCGTATTGTGCAAAGTGTATGAATCAAGTGAATGGTACCAATGAAACGAATCAGCTCTTGTAGTGCGTTTAATTGAACTTTTAAAGTTTCATTTTATTTCTAATTCATTAGCACCTGCAACGTAGCCTGCAACAGCTAAAAGTTTTAGCTACAATTATAAACTTCTTAACTTGCAATAAAGGAAAATATTAAAATATTATTCAAATTATTATAAAATACAACTAGTTATTTACACTTTATCACAACTAAATCATAACTATTATAGTTTATCACAATTAAATTATAACTATTATGGATTATCATAATTAAATAGGTGAAAAGAAGAACAGTACTAGTCCAATATTTTCGTTTCGAATGTTTAAGTTTTAAACATTTATAGATAAACAGTGTTAAATCTACTTTATGTACGAGATAAGTTTTAAACAGTTATAGATAGTCGTAAAGGATAACATATATACAAATAGCAGGGGCAAGAAGAAGACATAATTTGTCTTATCATCAAACCCCTTAATCTAGATTAAGGGGTTTGATGATAAAACAAATTATGTCTTCTTCTTGCCCCTGCTATTTGTATATATGTTATCCTTTACGACTATCTATAACTGTTTAAAACTTATATATATATATATATATATATATATATATATATATATATATATATATATATATAAACTTATATATATATAAACTTATATATATATAAACTTATATATATATAAACTTATATATATATATATATATATATAAACTTATATATATATATATATATATATATATATATATATATATATATATATATATATATATATATATATATATATATATATATATATATATATTAACTTATCTCGTACATAAAGTAGATTTACCATTGTTTTGTTTTTTTTTAAATTTATTACGCTATTTTATATGTACGGTATAGCTATACCGTATTTTTTTTAAATTTATTACGCTATTTTATATTTACGGTATAGCTATACCGTAAATATAAAATAGCGTAATAAATTTAAAAAAAAAACAAAACAGTGGTAAATCTACTTTATGTACGAGATAAGTTAATATATATATATATATATATATATATATATATAATATATATATATATATATATATATATATATATAAGTATATATATAATATATATACTTATATATATATATATATATATATATATATATATATATATATATATATATATATATATATATATATATAAGTATATATATATATATATATAAGTATATATATATATATATATATATATATATATATATATATATATATATATATATATATATATATATATATATATATATATATATATATATGTATATATATATATATATATATATATATATATATATATATATATATATATATATATATATATATATATATATATATATATATGCAGCTCACACATTATATTCTAGAAAAAACAAAAGAAGTGAAAGCCATGAACTTAATGTGTTTTTTTGCTTTCTTGACTTTTGTTTTTGATATATATATATATACATGTATATATATACATATATATATATATATATATATATATATATATATATATATATATATATATATATATATATATATATATATATATATATATATATATATATATATATATATATATATATATATCAAAAACAAAAGTCAAGAAAGCAAAAAAACACATTAAGTTCATGGCTTTCACTTCTTTTGTTTTTTCTAGAATATAATGTGTGAGTTGCATATGCGACAAATATAGTTAATAAAATAAACAAAATGCTATTATTTAATTTTGACAATATAATACCGTAACTTTTGGGTAACTTAGCACATAATTTTGATGTTGTTTTCTTAGTCGTTTCTTACAATATGCGTGAAACGTCTTTAATATCACTGGTCTACAGACAAATTGTAACGAAAATAAAAATAGCTGAAATATTTTAATATAAGAGTGCTAAGCACAAATCTGATGTTCAAAATTTTTGTTTAGCTCTAGTTTCAAAGTTATCACTAGAGTTCTTGTCTATGGATTTCGATTAAATGTGTTGACTTCTTCTTTATTTGATTCAATTTAACTGTTTTATTTGTTTGTTTCAGATTTTGTTATAAAATATAGTGAAATTATTTCATTAATTATAATCAAAAATGTCAAGAAATTGTGTCAATAATCCGGATTCGTTCCGTTATATTTGTGGCAAAGTGACATTGGTTTCACAGAAACGTACTATCACATCATTGATCAAGAAAGCTTACCATTTGTATTTTGGTTGAAGTTGGGAGATCAAGAACAACCTTGGGCTTCTCACATTTGTTGTACTTTTTGTACATTTGCAATACCAATGATTTGAAGGGAACCAACTGATTACGTTGCCAATTGTAACTTTTGCATAGTACCCTCCATAGATCATGACATCACAAAAAAGAGAACAAAATCCAATATCTAAATATTCCAAGTGTCTTGAAACTAGTGCCTTACGGTGAAGATCTTCCCGTTCCGGATCCACCAGTCAACATACAGACTGAATTCAGTGATGATGATGCCAATGACAATGAAGAACCTCTAGAGCCATCAACTTCGAAAAATGTATCATTTATATTTACTGCAGTTGACGATGATTCATATAGAATCTCTCAAAATGAACTTAATGATCTAGTTTGGGATTAATGATTATCTAAGAGCAAGGCTGAGCTAATAGGATTTAGATTGCAAAAGTGGAATCTACTTTAAGATGATGTTAGAATTAGGGAATTTTGAGGCTGACACAGTCAGTTTGAACCGTATTTGTAAGTCAAAAAATACCCAAGCTTATGGTGTACATTTAGTTTGATAAACCCTTAAAAGAGATTAGAAGACTACATGGACGAATCTTTAATCGGTGGTAGGGAAGTGCTTGCGGAACCACAGAACTCATAATCACCAAAAATTGAGAACTTGTTGAACTCATACCAGACACTGGGCTAAAATATGCCATTAAAAATACACTGTTTACACAGTCATTTGGACTTCTTCCCGTGAGTTTAAGCGAGAAATAACTATAAAAACGTGTAGCTTGTATGACTAATAGTGAATTTTTGTGGAATGAAAGAAAGACTACGGTTATTACATTATTAAGGGAAAAATTCTTTGCAAACAGTTTCAGTCACAAAAAAGAGAAAACAAGCTCAAACCCATGTATGAGAGATGGAATGTATATAATATACTTGTTTTTGAAAAAGATATTGTTGTAAAAGTCTGTTGGACTTATTTGATGAGATAAAATTTTATTTTTAGAAATTTAGTAATTATAGTAATCTGAGAATTATTGAACATTATCGTTAGACCAAACCTTTTTAAAGCGGTAACCACCATTTTTAATCAATTTTTTGAAATGATAAAGAGACGTTCTTTCTGCGAACAATTATTCAAGAGAGTTTCTTTTTCTTGTAAAAAAGACGAAAAAAAGAACTATGGTTGGAATTAGCAGTTACACAAGAAGAAAAAAATTATGTGGTTGATTGTGGATTGATTTAAAACTGAGAAAAAGAATAAAAGTTTCTGCATGTATCATCTCTGCCTGTATCTTAATATTTCAAAGGATTAACAGAAATACAAAGACATCATTCCAAAGGCCATATTAATAGTCATAAAATTTTTTAGCCATAAGGTAATAATAAAAAGTGCATATGTAAGCTAACGAATGTTTGTAAACTTAAAAATGTTTGAAAGCTGAAGAATGTTTGTAAGCTAACGAAAAATTGTAATTTAACGAATGTTTGGAAGCTAACGAATGTTTGGAAGCTAACGAGTGTTTGAAAACTAACGAATGTTTGAAAATGCTAGAATAAAACAATAAGATAGTAAATAAAAGTTTATTAATTTGAATGTTTAAAATAAACTTCAATTTGTATTTACTTGTCTTTACATTCACACAAAAGTGGAATTTCACACATTTGTGGAATAAGTTGACACTATTATAAACAGAAACTTTTATTTTTATTTTTTAAATACATATTTAATAAAATTATTTATTATTTTTTTTGTTAGCTCACGTATCTTTTAAAGCTCTTTTAAGAGAAACATGTTTTTTTTCTGCATTTAGAAATCAAAGGCGATTTTTTATTTGATAAACATTCACACCCTGAAAATTTGAGACCCTAATGTTAATGCAACATCTCATCGAAATCCTTTGAAATGGTGATACTGTATGTCATAAAGTATCCATGATAATTTATTTTAAAATTTTGCATTAAAATCTAACAGAGTTATTATCATTTCTCTTAAACTGATATTTATCTTAAGTCATAACAACTTATGGCTTCTCCCCAAAAATATTATTTTACCAAAAAAGTCCAAAAAATATTAAATAAAAGTGCACAGAATCAATAAATAATTTATTAGTCTTTTAAGTAAACAAACATATTGGTCTTAAAAAAACTTTAATAATAAACAATTGTAGCAACACAGCATTTGTCAAATTCTTCTTATTCGAATTTTTTGCATCTTGGTCCAATTCCGTGCCGTTGATTCACACTTTTTTGCTGTTGTAATTAATAACACAGTTTAGAAGCTGTTGAGAGTAGTCGGGATGAGAAGCAGTTCTTTTGTATTTTTCCCAATGACTTTTGAAACAAGAATGTAAAGCTTCTGTGACTTGTTCACTGTATAGTTCTAGATAAATTTTTTTCAACTTTAAAAATTATTGAGCATGATGAAACACAGCCAAAAAAAAAAAAAGTGACAAAAACCAAGTGACAAAAATCTTGAGCTTCAGAAAACTAGAATTGAAATATTCTATTTTCAAAACATAATCAGCTGAAAGAGAGCAGCCAAAACAAGCTGAAACAACAACCTTGAACGAATTCAAAGAATGGCAGAAACCGAGGGCTTCTGAATGACCTTTAGATTCATCAAGGAATTTCAACTCATTTACCTTTTTGAACTTAATTCAATCATTGATATTGTAGTGGCCACCATGGAAAGTTAAAGAGTGAGGTTGGCTTGGCCATGGATTAGCTTTAAACCAAAAATGGCTTCAAGCCAATCCATGGCCTTCAGCCATTTTTGTACCAGGCTTTGCACATTATGATTACCACACCAAGAAGTAAATGAAGTTCCATGGGAGAATTTTCTTCCCAAGAACTTCCGAAACAGCTGTTTTGTTAAAAAAATAAAGCAAAGGAGGATAAATAGCATTAAAGAAAGCTTTGACATTTTCCCTCCAGATTGAACAAAACTCTAGCATTGCTGTCTAATGCTTCCAAAGGTACGAATTTTTCTATATGTAGTGAGTTTTGAAGATTCATTTTCACACTAACAACATGAGTCTTTGCTACTATGAGATTAAAGTGCACAAATTATGTCAGAAAGCTTCATATCACTCATGATAATCAAGGAGCTTAGAGAGCAAGCTCACTTTCTAGAAAGAGCCACCGCAATCTATTCCAAGTTTTAGAATAGCTTTTAGGTTCTTTTGATGTTACGATTTATTTGAGATGATGCAGATCCTGGCAATGAACTCGTCAATCTTCTTACCTAGCAGCAAGTTTTAGGGAGCTTTTAGTAAAGTAATTTCTCAATGTCTTGCCACTTTCAACAAGTTTTTGCTGAAGGTTGGTTTCCATAGCCCTACTAAGCTAATCTGATTGAGAGCAGATCCAAGTTTCCTCGTTCCAGTATTTTCTTAGATTGAAACCATATTGTTGTTTATTTAACAGGCCTGAAAATTTTTTATCACTTGGCTGGTTGATCTTGAATTGACAAGTCATGCAAATTCCAGGAGGCAAAAGGTCATCACGGAGGTTTAGAGTATTTCAGATTATCTCACAAACATTTATTTCAGATATTCACAAACATTGGCATAATGGAAAATCAATTTTTGGCGCGCGAAAATTAAATTTTTGTTTTTACACGGACGTAAACAATAAGTAGGTGATAGGGATAAGCTGAGTAAATTCTCTAAGCTCATAAAAATTGATTGAAATTCTAAATAGGCTTTTTATAAGTACTTATAAAAAATTTAGTGCGATCAATTATCACTTTGATAGTTTAAAATTTATAAAATGCTTCATTTTTAACAGGTGATTTCTATCATTAAATAACGGTCAAATTAAAATTCTGCACAAAATATCCAAATTAAATTATGTCTGTTGGATTTCAAATAATTTCAATTTTTAGTGTTATGAGAACCTTGTGACTCAATCATTTGTTAAAAGTATTTTGATGATTTTTTCAGCATTAAGGTCCCAGATTTTCATAGTAAGCATTCTTGGTTAGCAAATGCATTTATTTAATATTTTCCTTGCAGACATTATATACATTTATTAGAAATATTATGTGCAACAGCAGGTGCTGTTTAAAGGATGGATTAATACGATATAAAACCATCAATTTTAACCCTCTTTTTCAAGCCAATATGTCGTTTATCAGGTACATTCTTATATGAAACAAGACATTTATATAACAAGTTTTCTGATAAATGTTTCCGCTCATTTAGCAGTTTTTGTTTCAATTCACAAATCATAAAACCCTAAATTATAAACAAATATAAAATTAGAAACTTAAATATCACTTCTTAAATATCAACATGCCATGTTTTTTTCGTGTTTTCATTTGTTTATTCTAATAATTTTGCGAAATAAATTCTTTTAGAGGGTTTTTTGGTTTTTTCAAATAGATTTTTTATAATTTTTGTATGTTGTCTCTAATCTATTCTAGTTTCTAAAATCTAATCGAAGTAAGATTATTTTAGAAACTGTTTTAAATTTTTCTAGTGAGTAGTCTTCTTTATTAAACCTTTTAATAAAATTTTTCCATGAAAGAGGTCCTCAGTATTGAATTCGGTAAGAGTTTGTTTTTAGATTAATTCTCGGAACAATAGTTATTCTCTGAAAACTTTGTTAAGATAGTTCACTAAAGTAAGATTAGAATATAAGTGGAGATATTCCATGTGTCATTTTAAACATGAATATTATTATTTTGTAAATATTTAGTTTTAGGGTTGGGAGTTAAGGTTAGTTTTAGTCTAACAAAAAATACTTGACTAAATTTTTAGTCTAACTAAAATTAGTCGACTAACTTTTTAGCTAACTAAAATTAGTCGACTAAGGTTTTAATTAACTAAAATTAGTCAATTAACTTTTTAGTTAACTAAAATTACCCGACTAACTTTTTAGTTAAGTAAAAAATTAGTCGACTAATTTTAGTTAACCAAAAATTTAGGCAACTAATTTAAGTTAGAATAAAAAATTAGTCGACTAATTTAAGTTAACTAAAAAATTAGTCAACTAATTTTAGTTAACTAAAAAATTAGTCGACTAATTTTATTTAACTAAAAAGTTAGTCGACTAATTTTTTATTCTACCTTTTATTTTTATTCTATTTTTATTACGGTTTTTTAAGTTTAGTTAGTTACAATTTTTAGTTTTGGTCACAACACTTTTTAGTTTATAAATATTTTAGACCTTGAGACATATGATTCACAATACACAGTTCTGCTTGCCCTAAATACAATCCTACAAGGATGCGAATACAATGTACGAAATACAGAAAACTCAAAAAATTTTGTTTCTACAAAATTTTTTGAGTTTTCTGTAATTCTTACTTTACCATACAATGTTGCAGTAAGAAAAATAGCTGTGAATAAATGAAAAATAATTTTTTTTAGAGCTCTTGTATTTAAAATGGTTTTGTTTTATAAAGTACGGAAATATAATAAGAGATTTTATCTAACAGATTAAAATTGATTTTATAACAGATTAAATTCGTCAGCAAACAGTATAAGGTATAATTTTTAAAAGCAAAAAAAAGTCGTTTTTGTACACTAGAAACAATAATGATTTTTAGATAGATCCCGCTAATTTAAGCATTTGTTTCTGAACTTCGCTTCATGTTTCCAATAATTTAAAAAGTTATTATTTTTCCTATAACCGAGTGATTAAAGATTTTTACAACTTTTACAAGAAAACAGCAGCTTTTACAAAGAAAACTTTATCAGAAATCCATTTTGAACTTCCTTATACAGTTGAAGAAGATTATATATTAGATTTTATTTCCTCTCCATTCTATTTACAATATTTTGTTTTCGTGATTATGCAGTGGAGTTGTGGAAAATGACTTCTGATCATATGTAATATCTCCCCTGCTTATCTGCTTTCCACATAAAATGCAAATTGCTGTGAAATTACAGCTATCATTAATTTTGCAAAGCTTTCAAACAAAATTTGCTGTTTTGAAGGTTTATCACAGTAATATTTTATCATAATAAAATATATACTTTAGGATTTGAATTACATCCGGCCTGATATACGGCCGGATAATTTTTAAATATTTAGGTGTTCTATATCCAGTCAGATAGTTTAAAAAATGTTATCCTGGACACCCCTAATATATACATTATTATTGTAAATATTTTTTTGTTGTTTTAAACTTTGTTAAAAAAATCTAATTTATACTTTTTTTGTAATGGGCATCTAAAATGCTTAAATAGGCTTCGGCGCCCGTTTATTTTACTTTTTGCTCCATTTTTTTATCAATTTTTTTCCGATTTTATAAACATTTTATTTTTATTTTTATTTAACAAATACTCTTAGTTAAAAATAAATAAATTGTAAAGTCCATCGAAAATGATTAAACGGGCAAAGATAATAAAAGAATAAAATCGAGTTGAAAACTCAATTTTTCTATCATGCCCCAATTATTGCTTTCAACACTTTGTTCATCTTTTTTCGTTCATTTTTTATTGTTTAGAAGAAAAGCAAGCTTGAATAAAAAAAAATTGATTGGAGTGAAACTTTGAGCAGACTTTTGTATGAATTTTTGTAAATTGTTAAATTAATTTTTATAAATAATGCTATATAACTTTATTTCAATGATTATTATTTATCTTCCTCTAATTTTATTATTTATTTATTATTGTTGTTATTATAACTTTTTATTTGACTTTTTCTTAATTTTGTTATCTTATATTTTCATAATCATAATTTATTTTTGTATTACTTATATGACTATTGTTATTAAAATTTATACTATTTTTTTTTTATTATTATTATCCTTATTACTATTTCATTGCTACTGAAAAATGATTATAAATGGAAAATAAATAGTTTGTTGTTGTTGTTGTTGTTGTTGTTGTTGTTGTTGTTGTTGTTGTTGTTGTTGTTGTTGTTGTTGTTTAATGTAAAATAAATAATGCTACTTGATATCAGTAATCAGAAATACCAATTTTAACCGAAATTTAAACCGAGATTTTCCTAGGATTTCTCCTTCGTTTAATGTTTTAAAATGCATTCATTAATAAGACAATCTTTGACAGACGTAGTTAGTTAATCATTGTCATATATAGTAAATGTTTTAAATTTTTTATCAATTCTAGTAAACAGCTATTAAATTCTAGTAAACAAAAACTTATGAAATGAATAAAAAATTAATTACTAATGAACAGAATTTTAACCTCAAACTATTTTCCAACAGGCACTCCACAAGTTTGAGGAGTTTTCATCATCCTTTATGAATAACCCGCTGTTTTTTATACATTCTAGAGATGTTATGTATTTTATATTCATATATTTTTAACAAGTGGTTTTTTTATAAATTATTCATACAGCCAATTCATTTTTTTACCTCATTCTTTTTAATAAAAATTTTATAATAGATATTTTCAATTTAGAAAAATATTATAAATCGAATACTTTGTGTTTAAACTTTATGTTTCACTTTAAAGATAACGATGAAAAAATTGTTTTTTAAGATTGGACTTTTTTTGCTTTGTATTACAACCATCAAAATATTTCATATGACAAGTCGCTGTGAAGACCATGGTGCACGCAACGAAAAGGTAAAATTAAAAGTTGCTATAACTTTAAAAATAAGTTTTACCAAGATGTACGCAATAAAAAAGTAAATTTAAAAGTCGCTGTGAGTTTATAAATAAATTTTACAGAGGTGTACACAGGTGCGATTCAACGGTGTGTTACTCCCTTCCCTACCACCTAAAGAAAGCGATTTCAAGTTATAGTCGGTTTTTTGAGGAATGTAGACAGACTGCTTGTCGGTTATTTGACATATTTAAGAGGGATGATTTTTAGTTTGAAGGAAATTTTTTTTTTTTTGCTTTTTTTAAAACCATTCAATATTTTTTAAAATGTGTCCTCCTATCCCCCTTCCTCTCAATTTACACCTCAAATCGCCTCTAGCTGTACTTTTTAAAAAGAAAAAATTTGAAATTTTTTTTCTTCCTTTTTTATAAGTACAACCATTTTTTTTCCCGTTTTTTCATTCAAATAAAGTCTTTAATCAAGTTAAAAATTATGTTTCATTTTGTGTTTTAGATTCCGATGAAGAATTTCTTCATTAGGCATAGTTTCTAAATACTACGATATAAGCGAATTATGTACATTTAACTTAATAATGTAAACGCTCTATCTTTTTTTCATCTAAGCATATCATCTTTAAAAAAGCACTCTGAGAATTTTAACATAATACTATTATTAATTAGTTTTGATTTTTCCATTATTGATATAACTGAAACAAAGATAAAAAAAGAAACATCCTAAATTCATCCGATTTTCATTGATAGTTACAAAGTTGAGCACACACCAACGGAAACCTCTTGTAGTGGTACATTATTATATTTATCAAATAACTAATATACAAACAAAGAGATGATTTAATGATTTAGGGGAGATGGGGGCGCATTGATCGCCGTTGCAGTATTTTGAAAACTGCAAACAACCCGATCTAGATATAAAAACTTATTAATTACTAAACTAAACTAGAACAATCTGGCTTTAAGTAAAAATAAATGTTTTAATAAAAAACATTAATGAACATGGTATATTTCAACATTAAAACAACCCTTGCAAAAGATCAATGTACCCCATGCAATGGGGTACTATGATCTCCGATATGGGGCGCTTTGATCATATATGAGTAACATTATTTACATGTTTAATACTGCTATACCTAAGTACTACAAATGCATTAGGTGAAGGGTATTAGTGTATATTATATAATACATCTAAAAAAAAAAGTAAAATTTAAAACAGTATCAGTCAAAATCCTTGTTTTTAATTGCCTACTTTTAACACTTCTTTTTCTAGCAGATGCTTTCGGGTAAGGTTTCAAAACTTCAGGTGAGAGTAATGAAGCAATACTTGGTGACACTTTGTTCGAAAAACTTGCTTCATGATGTACTACAGGCATTTCAGGCTCCATGCCATCAACATGTGCTACAGTCATTTTAGGTTCCACAAGAATTGCGTTTACTACATTTGGAGCAGCACGATCTGTAACTGATGATGGTAAATATTCATCATCTTTAAAAATTTCTGGATTAAATGGCTCAATGCCAGCTACTTGAAATCCTCTCTGTATATTAGATGGTGAGAAAGCTTTTGCATATGGTTCGCGAACTATTGAAACAATATCATAAATGGTCATAGTTCTTGGATTTGTGACCATTCAATTATCACACGTAGCATTGTAAAACCTTTTCAATGGTCCAAAAACAGTTCTATCCAATGGTTGCAATTTATGGGTACAATGGGGAGGAAGACTTAGCATTGTAATTCCATGTTGAATTGCAAGATCCAAAGCTCTAACAGAAATAAGACTTTTATGGCTGTCCAGAAGTAACAAAACTGGAGATTCATGAGAACAGTTTGAATACCTCACAAAATGTTTTATCCATTTTATAAAAATGTCTGAATTCATCCAACCAGAAGGATTTGCAAATCCCACGCATCCAAGAGGACCTTCCTTTATCATGTAATCATGAAATTTGACCCTAGGAAAAACAAATAGTGGAGGAATAGAGTTTCTAATTGCATTTGAAACACAACATACAGTTACTAATGTTCCTCGTTCTGCAGATGTGATTCTTCCTACTTGTTTACTTCCTTTACCTGCTAACACTTTTACTGGCTTTTGCACTGTTGTTAAATCAGTTTCATCAACATTATATATGCAATAAGGATCAAACTTATATCGATTTCTTACTGTTTTTAGATTTTGGAAAAATTCTCCAACAGTGTGTCGGTTAAAGGCAGTTGATCAAGCAAAGCTAGTTGCTTCAGGTGTTCGTAAAGACAACTCTGGTTGTCTTTTCATAAAACCTTACAACCAATCAATCCCTGCAATTTTATTCTTGATCCATGATAAAGGACAAATCTTATTATTTTTTACAGCAAACTCGTATGCCAATAATCGTGTTGACTTAGTTGAAAGTCCATAGTTCATTTTTGATGCAAGTAGTAAATAACTTGACAAACTATTTTCATCTTCTGCAGTAAAAACTTGTTTATTGTTGTAATTAGGCCTAAAAGATTCATTTGGGTTGAGCTTCTTTTTATTACAATATCTTTTTAAGGTCATTCGATTTATGCTAAACTTGCGAGCTACAACATTCAATGGTCTGCCCTCTAAAACGTCATTAACAGCTGATTTCATTGTATCACATGATATAGCAACTCTGTCTGTTTTTTTTTTCTATACCTAACCATTTAAAGATCTGAAAATTTAAAAAAAAGTAAAATAAAATGATTGTTTAAAAAAAATATTTTATATAATAATATTATGTAAACTAATTGTAAAACTTATGTAAAACTAAAATCTAATGTTATTAATATTAGTTTTTAACACTATTACATTTTAAAAATGAAATTTTAAAAGTTTATATAAAGATTTTTTATTCGTCATAAGTTTAAATGAATAAAATTTAAACAAAAAATTTAAGTCTTATAATATAAGTTATATGGGGCATTATGATCCTCCGATCAATGAGCCCCGCATAGTCAACGATCAATGTGCCCCATTAGGTACAGTTGATATATTGATGCCAATAACTTCAATAAATACAGTAACCAACTCAAAAAAACAAACTTATTATAAACTTAACACATATGAGTTTACAATAAATTGGTTGTAAAGTCATACGGAAATCTAATTAAAAATTTATTTGAATTTGTTTACAACTTTCATAAATCACTTTTCATGATGAAAAACAGTCTTTTCAATTTTCTTAACGCTGAAGTTGGTCTTATCAAAAATTATTACGATTAAGCAATGAAGGGTAGTATAATGGTTAATTAAATTGCAATCTCTGTTAAATTAAGGCAAAAGTAAACGAGTGAAAGCTAAAAGATCATACTGCCCCGGCGATCAATGCGCCCCCATCTCCCCTACACACCTAATTGTTTAGAACCCGCATCTGTTAAAAGTTATTTTTTCGAAAAGGTCTAATATTATTGTTGTTTGCATTTATAGACACCCATGCATGGAGATTAATTTTTTTAATAATATCATGACTGTCTTACTTAAAAAAATACTAGCTGAAAATAAATCTATTTTCTTACTTGGTTATTATAATATTGATTTAATGCAATCAAATGATAGTTGCAACGTCTGATTTTTTAAACTTATTTTCTTTTTATAATATTCGCCCTTTTACTACTTTGTCGACTAGAATTATGGATCACTCTGCTACAATTATTGATAATATTTTCTCTAGTTTATTAGTTAATGAAATTGTTTCAGGAAATTTGACAACTTCTGTTTCTGATCACTTACCTCAATTTTGTATTTGTCCCAATTTCAATAAGTCATTTATACAACGCAGACACAATTTATATAGCGGGAGTTTTAAAAACTTTAATATCGAAAATTTTAAATCTGATTTATTGATAATTGACTGGGACAATTTTATAAAGGCCAATGATACTAAAACATGTTTCCATGTTTTTATTACAGAAACAACATTGATTTTAGATCGCTACGCCCTGCTTAAAAAAACAAGTATCAAAAACTTCAAACGTCAATTCAAACCATGGATTACAAAAGGGATTATATTATAATTTGCGCAATCTTTTCCAACAATAATGATCTTATTAATAAAAAAAGTTTGAAATTATTTTTAAAAGATATAAATATATGATAATTACATTAAATAAACTTAGTAAAAAAACCCATTTAAAAAAATTTCGCGAACTTTGAAAAACATTGATATTTTAATTAATGTAAAAAATTTTATAAATCATCTCCCTGCTGTTTGCAAGAAAATGAAATATTTATAACTGATCCAACTCTCTGAATCATTTAAGACTTTTTTTTCAAATGTTGCTCATAAACTCAAATCCAATTTTCATTCGTCTTATGTTAACTATCAAAAGTATCTTAAACATCCAAACTTACATAGTTATTATCTCCAACAAATGTTCCTGAAATTTCATCTCTTATATCTAAATTAAATAAAAAAAATCATAAGGTGCAAACAAAATTGTCAAAATATTTTTCTAGAATTTAAATATGAATTTTCAAATATTCTTTTAAAACCATTTTATACCTCATTCATAAATGGAATATTTGATATCCTGATATCTTGAAATTATCTTGCGTTATTCCAATGTTTAAAAAAGGCTCTAAACTTTCATGCACTAACTATAGACCTGTTTCTCTTTAATCTAAAATTAGTAAGCTTCTTGAAAATCTATGTATTTTAGAATGTATTCTTTTCTAAACTCATTTAGTTGTTTAAATTGATTTCAATTTGGTTTTCGATCAAAACATTATACTGCCATCTATTAATAAGTATAACAGAAAAAAAAATAAGAAAAGCTCTTGATACTGGTCATTTTGTTTGTGATGTTTTTATCGACTAAAAAAAAGCTTTCAATGCCGTAGACCATAGTATTTTGATTTTTAAATTAGAAAATTATGGAATTCGCAGTATTGTAAATAACTCGTTTCGATTTTATCTTTAATTTTGAAAACAATTTGTTAGTATTAATGGTTTTAATTCTTGTAATAAATCAGATTTGTGTGGTATTCCTCAAGGTTCTGTTCTTGATCCTCTTTTGGTTTTAGTCTACGTTAACGACCTAACCAACTTTATTTACTTCGCGTCAGTTCATTTGTTCGCTGATGATAAAAATCTCTTGCACATAATCATTTTTTATTTAAAAAGTTCGGATTTAAAAAGTATAGTTCACTGGTTAAATGCTAACTTCATATGTCTTGAAAAATGGTTGAAACTAAAATCAAAATTGATAATGAACGGCTTCAAGAGGTATTAAATTTCTTAGTGTGTAAATCGAATGCAGTCTTTCGAGCTAACGATATGCTTTCAACAATTTGTCATTATGTTGATAAACTTATTCCTAAGAATATTTACTGAACATTATTCTCACCTATTCTTACCTATTGTTGTCAAGTTTGGGGTCAAGTTGGAAACTATCGCATTAACAAGTTTGTTTTTGACTCCTTAAATAAAACTCCTTAAACTTACCATCTTCCATTACAAACTTGTTCACAAAAAGTAGACTAGTACACTACTTTTTTACTATAAATATATACAATGGAAAACTAAATGTACCATCTTTTAAAACATATAAATATGTTACACGTTCTATTGTTTATCAGCACGTCTGTGAATGGAGCGGGAGCCTTGTTTGCGTTTTGAATGAGTCCAAAAAACTAGATCTTAAAATACCTTTTCTTAAATAAAATCAATTTTAAAAGTTTCTGAAAATATTTTGTTCTAACCTTAGGTATTATCCTTACTATAAAAATATTCTTTTCGTTTTCTTTTCATTATAAATACAATTATCATCAATATTTTTATTTCTTTTTTTCTTTTTTTATTACTATAAACTGCCAATTATGATTGCTAAGTGTTTATTTTTAACGTATGTTTTATATATTTTTAACGTATATTTAAATATATGTTCAATGTGCTTTAATCTATGTATTTACGTTCTATATGTTTCAACGTCTTTGTGCTTATTATTTATTATATTATATTTAAAAATTAGTGTCACTCCTTTGATCAGATTTCTGTATGAGTGACACCATCTTAATAAATCATTAATTTATTATTATAAATAACTTTATGCATATAACTAACATTATAATATATATTATTATATATATAAATAACGTTATAATATCTTTTATTATATTTATAATATCTATTATTATTACTTTTTAATTGTAGTTATTGTAAAAATAGTTATTATTACTATTACTATAATTTGTATTAATTTTGTTATCTTATATTATTATTATCATTATTTTTACTATATTTATTATTAGTTATAACTATTGTTATTATTGTTGCTATTGTTATACTTATTGTTTTTATTATTATTAATAATGTTGTAAAAAACATTTACGGAAAATAAATAGCTTGTTTTTATTATAGTTGTTGTTATATATAGTGCTGTTACTATGGTTTCCGATGTTGAGGGTGCTTTTAGATTATGTAGATCCAAATAAAATAAAAGAATTTTTTTTTTAATAAATGCATTTAAAAAAAGTATTAAAAATTAAAATTATTAAATTAGTTACTTACTACGTAATTGAAAGTAAAAAAAGTTGTTTTAATATATGAAAATACTTAAAAATTTGTTTTAAGTATACAATTTAAAAAAATAGATACATAATCTAAAATTCTATTTCCTTATTGAAAAGATACCGTAAAAAACTGTGTCATTGTGCTTAGTTTAAACAACAAATATCATTATGTTGAGTTTATAAAATATATATCATTGGCTGAGTTTATACAACATATATCATTGGCTAAGTTTATACAACATATATGATTGTGCTGACTTTATAAAACATATATCATTGTACTGAGTTTATACAACACATATAATTGTGCTGAGGAAAAATATAAGACCGAGACAAACAACTAGTTATTTCAAGATTATATTTCATTTGATGACGTCTTGCTAATTGATAACTACTAGGCAAAACTTCATTAATTAAAATTACTTTTTCAACTTTTTGAATAAATTGTACATTTAAAATAAGTCATCCCCGTCTCAAGTGAGATCTAAACTGATTTTTGCTCATAACTTTTTTTTTAGCGGCAATGATATTATTATTTCTTTTAATAATGATACAATTATTTCTTACTATTATTTCTTCCTATTCTTATAATTATCACCTTTTATCTAATTTTTACTTTTTTTTTTATTATCACAATTTATTATAATTAAATTTGATAGGTGTTTACTTGAGATTAGTATCATTACTATTTGAAAATATCCTTGATATAGGATCTTTTATTCAGAATAAATTTGATTTGATTTTATTTGATATTCTTGTTGCACAATGCTGAATATTTTCTAAAAGATTAATTTTATTCTTATGAGAAGGAGACCACACAGATAGGGCAAATTCAATTAATGGTCCTAAAAAAGTTGTGTATATAAATTTTAGTAATTCACTTTTTAAAGCAAAAAAATTTCAACCAACCCAAAGCTTTATTTGCTGTATGTGAGCATAGAGTTTTTAAATTTTTTCATTTTAATTCAGAGGTCTTTTTCAGCGACAGGTACTTAAAGATCAAGTTTGCTGAAGATTTACGATAAGTTAGCACTTAAAATAAACTTAAGTTGTTGTTTTTATATATATATAATAATAATATTTTGTAATAAAATAAAAATTTCAGGCACACAACTAAAGATTTTTTAAATATAGCAACATGGTGTGGAAATGTTAGATGACCAAAATAGAACTTTCATGTTACTCTTAGGGGCAAGGTAAAAAAGGAGCACACCGTAACACGGGGTTACTTTGGCCAGCGGGGTTACTTTGGCCATTTTTAAAAAGTTTAATTAAACATCTGTAACTTTTAAACAGTTAAGTAACGTTTTGCTATTTAAAATAGTAACGTTTTACTATTTAAAATAGTAAAACGATACTTTACTGTTTAAAAGTTACAGATGTTTAACTAAAGTTTTTAAAAATGGAAAAAGTATCCCCGCTTGCCAAAGTATCCCCGCTTGCCCCGTGTTACGGTACTGAAATGAATTCATTTCTCACAAAAGTAATCCTCATTTTTTTAGAAAAATCTAAAAAAAAAATTTTTTATATTCTTTAGGAGGACATCCCTAATATTTCAATACAGACGGATATTTTGCAAAAACAGATTTTAAGAAGAAAGTCACTTTACAAGTACTGCAAATCAAAAACTCTTAGAGCAGCTGTTTCCTCGCGTTATTTAATCTATTCCGATAACGAAAAATTACTTTATTGCTATATACCAAAAGCAGCTAGCACTACATGGAAAAGACTATTTCTAATATTTGAGAATATAACAACATTTGAAAATGTTTCCATGATTGATAAGAACGAAGTAAGTCATAAAAATTATTTTATTTTTATCCAAGAACATCAATTCCAAAATTTAGTTAACGTAAGGTTACAATGTTTACAACCGGGAGTGGGCCGTCTTCCTATTTCTCAAAAATACGTAAACTATGTTCACTTACTCCTTTTTCAAACATTTATATTAAAACTAGTATAAAGCAAAAATCTAATCATTTAGCTAGATACATACAAACAAACAATAACACATTTCCTATTAAACTATTAGGTTTTAACTTAGCACAAAAAAATACTACAGAATACTGATAAAACTACTAAATGCGATAATTCGCAACAAATTTTTATTTTAATCAATAATCAAAAAAAAAAAAATTATTTTTCATTTTGTTGCTTTTTGTTTTGTTAATAAAATTTATAAGAATAGCTAAATATATTTCGTGTTCATCTTTTAAAGCTTTATCATGATTATTTTAACTTTTTAATTTTACAATTATATTACCTCAATTCGTTTATATACCGTAGCGATTCCGAACCTTCTGAAGTTACGTTTACTAAGTTGTGGCGATCCCAAAAATAAAATTAATAAGATTGCTCCTGGATCACTGCATTATTGTAGCTAATTATTATGTTTTCCGACTTCTAAACATTTGATTTTATTATTATTTTATACTTTATTATCATAGTTTTTGCTACAAGTTTTTTATATTTGATTTATAATAGTTTATCAACAAAAAAATTAAACGTTTTGGTTGCAAAGGAACAATATATTTACTTTGAAATCATTTTATAAGATCCTTACTTAAAATTTTCAAATGTGTGCAGCTCCTAAATGTATAAGGTAGATTGTACAATGCTAACTTAAAACTTTGTGAAATTGACAAAATTTTAAACGTGCGTTTTGCAATATGCATTATACAATTAAGAGTCACACACAATCAATGCTATTAGCTTTAAAGCTGAAAATTTATGTAATAAAATTTGAACATATCATTAACTCAGACAATAAAGAGATTTCTAGCAAGTGTAAATGGTGTTTTAGTTAAATTTTGAAAATATTTTGAATTTTCTTTTTCAAGAATTTTAAAGCGTTTTTTGACAGTAAGTATTGTTTTTTTCATTGTTTCATGTTCAATGCCTTTTTTCTTAAAGAAATTAGATAAGTTTGACAACTTGTAAAATCTTTCTTGATTCAATTTATTTTCCGAAATTAAAGTTTCAATTGGAATGCTTGGAGCTTTTCTGACAAATCAAGGCATGTTGTATTTAGGCTTTAGAGGAATAAAATCAATTCGTTTAAGATCGTACTGATGTTAACTTTGGTTTACAAAAAGCAATTTTGTGCAGTTGGATTTTTTCGCCAAAAACTGTTTCAAAATGTGGTTTAGATTTTTGATTAAAAAGTTTTTTAAATTTATCAAGAAGATTAAAAACATGTTTTTAAAGTTTTGTAAATAGTTGGCTACTTAAAGCACAAACTTTTACAAAACTCTCGGCACTTACGTCACTTAGTCACGATTTTCAGCATTTTTTAAAATTTGTGTGGCAATGTCATCGTTGCTAAAATTTGTCCATGAATCATACAGTGAGTTAAATCATACAATGACATTTGTCAATTTGACAGTGGTGATGCGTAAAAAATAAAGTAAAAAATGCATTGCGTATAAAAAATTGTTTTTAAAAAGTTCAATTATTTTGTAAATATTATTAAACAAAAAAGTTTACATAAATAAAACTTTTACTTTAAAAAAAAAGAAAAAGAAACTTAAAAAGTTAGATGGCAGGAAAAAGTTCCCTTTGGAAAAAATCTCCCCCTAAGCAAAAAAACCCTTAAGACTTTTTTTGCAACACAAAATAAACGATATATCAAAGTAATAGTTGTTTATAATATAAATATTTTATACATACGTATTATGTTACAACCAAAGCCTTTTTCTTTTATTTTTCATAGATCGACTGAAAATAGGTAGAGCATGCAAGGAAAGCCGCTACATTGACTGAGGCTTTGGTTTGGAAAGACAATCTATTAATTTTAAAAAAGTATTTTGAAAAAAAATTTTTTTCGGAGGAACTTTTTCCAGGAACGACAAAGTTTAAGAGAATTAACATTAAATTCTATCTGCTGTTTTTATTTCAAATAAAAGAATTCTCTGCGCATTTTTTTTTTCTAATGATGCAACCCAGCGGGCATTTATTTTTAAAAGTTATGTTCTAAATGTATTTTAAACGCCTTTTAAACGTCTTCTAAACATTCTTACGTAAAGAACGTTTTTTTTTTCAATTGATGTATAGATCGCAACCATTTACATATGAAAATAAACGGCTCTTAAAATCTAATATCTAACTTATTTTTTTGCACTACTTTCAATATTGAATGTAGAATAAATTCAAAGCATGTACTGCAATGAAGTGTAAATTATGCAATAATATTTTGTAAAACGCTTTTTAACTTTGAATACTCTAAGTTGCGTTTTTACTTTTTTTGAATCATAAAGTACGACTGAACCTAACACTTTCAGTTATTTTAGCCCGTTGGTTACTGCCCGGGTAGCATTTTCAAATAACGGGTAACCATTATTTCATTTTTATTTTATAATTCATTTTGCTTATTTTTATATTTAAAATCATTAGTTGTAATATAAAAATTTAAAAATAATAACTTTAAAAATAACTTGTTATGTGAAGGAAGAGCTTAAAAATCTTGTTGCTAAAAATTTCAATAGTTTTTTTTTATCACCATCAGAATTTCTAAAAACGCTAAGCACAACCATAAATTTTTTTGAATTCAGAAACCCAATTATTATTAATCACCTTGAGTAGAATGTTTTCTTTTACGTAAAACATAACTCCTCAACTCGTTTATTCATTTATTTCTTAACTTATTTTCTTTATTTATTAGTCTCGCTTATTAATTTCGTTAATTTGGCACCCAAAATAACATATGCTAGTTTCTAAATAGTAATTGGAACTTGTGTAACCTTAACACTTAAAGCAAAATAAAGTTAAGATATAGCAAAAAATGTGAAAAATTGCTAATATGCTTGTAGGTATTTTAAAAATTGATTGATTTGTCTAAGTAGCTAAACTATTTAGGCTCCTAATATCTGTCGAATGATTCATGGTATTATACGCCGCTTCGGTGTAACGACTGTAGTCAGATCAAAAGTAAAAAGGCTTAGACTTAAAATTATAGAAAGTAACTACTGACTGGCGTCAATAAACTATTTTCAGAAAATCTGATTGCGACACAAGGCAAATTGTCAGGCAACCCCCACTGGGATCGCGACCGGGAACCGCTGATATATAGACCCCTTAATTTTGTGAAACAAATGCGCATGCGCGCGTCTTAAGCAGTCAAAACAAATTGATTTTAGAGCTAAACAGTAAATATTAATTAGCGTTTTTTAATAATATAAGAGTAAAAGGTTGAATTTATACAAAGTTTTTTTAATAATCATTTATATTTATAAAATAATATGCCTGATGTGTGTTGTGCCTATGGATGTACAAATAGAAGAACATTAGCTAATGCTCATTTGAGCTTTTATCGAATACCAGCTAATAAATCTGAATTTAGTGCTAACAGAAGAGAAAAATAGGTTGCAGCAATTAAAAGAGAAAAATGGAACGTAAAAAAAATAAATAATGCTCGTTTGTGTAGTGCTCATTTTACTACAGGTAAGACTTTTAGTTTTGTGTTCTAATAGTTTTCATGTATTTTTCATACTTAAATAAAAATAATAAAAAAACAAACTCTTTGATTTAAAACTTTAGTATTTTTACTTATGTATTAACTGATAATCATCTTTTTTAGGGAAAATATCTGATGATCCCTGTCATATTGATTATGTTCCAACTGTATTTTCTTTTAAAAAGACTCATGGAAAACAAATTAAAGCTTCTTTAGAACGATATGAGCGATCAAAAAAAAGGCAGCAAACTCTTTCTAGTAATGAGACTATATTATCAATTCACAAACTTGGATCATTTAACGAGACAGAAATTATTGAGTTGATTGAAGGGGACTGTATAAATTGTCCTTCAGAAAACGAGATAACCCAAAGAGCTGTTGAAAAAAGTAAAACAAGAACAAAAAATTTGTAAATTAAATTTAACTTAATTGGTGTCACTGATATATAATTTATGTGTTAATTATCTTTTAATTGTTTTTTTTTTAAAAAGTTTTGGAAGAATTTATTAGCAGTATTATTTGCATATTAGTATAAAATATTATTAGTATTGTAAAATATAAGCATAAAGTATTATTTGCATATTTTTAATTTTAGGCACACAAACTGAAGTATTTGTAACAAAAGAAAAATAACTAGGACGAACTTTGAGAAAAAAGATATTTGAAATACAAAAATTGAAGCAAAAGTTACAAATTTGTCAAAGACAATTAAAGTTTACAAAAGAAAAGATAATTGACTATATTAATATTAAAGAAAAAGCATTAAACTTTTAAACTGGAATTACCAAACCAGCTTTGTTTGAATGGGTTTTGCAAGAAGTTAAATCTTGTGTTAAACCTATTGTTAAAACCTATTGTTAATGTCCTTAGAAAACCATTTATTAATTGTATTAATGAAGTTAAGACTTGGACATAAAAATAAAGATTTAGCTTTGAGATTTAACATTAGTGAAGGAGTCATATCAAAAATATTTCGCCTATGGATAAAACAATTAGCCAATGTATTGTGCAATTTAATTGTGTGGCCTAAACGAGCTGCTATAAGAGAAAACTTGCCATGTTGTTTTACAAACTTTAAAAATTTTGTATGTTTAATGGACTGCACTGAAATATTTATACAAAGGCCACATAACTTAACAGCTAGGGCTCAAACCTACTCTACCTATAAATCACGCAATACCATTAAATATTTAATTGGAATAACACCAGCTGGTGCTGTAAGTTTTTTATCATCTGGATGGGGTGATCGAGCATTAGACAAACTGATCTCAATTCAGCCAGGTTTTTTAAATAAAGTTTGTTACGGAGATTGTATTTTAGCTGATAGAGGATTTTTAGTGGAAGAAGAATTAGCAACAAGAGGAGCTTTTTTAATAATACAAGCATTTACAAAAAGTAAAAATCAAATGGGTGTAAAAGACATTGGTTTATCTCGTCAAACTACTCGTGTGGGAATCCATATAGAGAGGGTTATTGGGCGTTTAAAAAAATATCAACTAATAGCATCAACTATACCTGTAAGCCAGGTTGATTTACTTGATAGTATAATGATTTCAGTAGCTAGACTTATAAATTTAAATAAAAGTGTAGTACAGAAATAAAAAATGTCTAATAATAAAATTTTTATTTTCAAACTAAATGGTACAAAATATTATTTTAAACAATTTGGACTAATCCAAATTCCTTTAGGAGCACGATTTACATTAACATATGAGTAGTGAAACCATTCAATTTCACAACTAGGTTTATTACATGCAACCATTGGTTTAAAGCATGGGTGTTAAGAAATGCAACAGTTTTTCTGCCTGTTGCTATAATAAATATCATTTTCTCTTGTTACAGTCTCTGGTAAAATGTATGTAAAATAATATTTGTGTAATGCCTGCTTTATCTAATTAATAAATTTTTCATCTCGATAAACTCTAACTAATAGGTAATTTCCTTCACTTTCTATTCTATTTCTATTCTATTTCACTTCAATTTCTAAGGGTGTCCAAATAAAAAAGTCACGAAATTCTACTTCTAAAATTATCATTTGTCCTTGTATTTGGGTATTATACTTATGGCTTGTTTTTAAATCACCATTATTACATACAGGAAAATCTTTATCCTCTTTCCAACCATTTAAACCTTCGCGGTATTTGTAGCCACACTTGATTTCTATTAAACCTTTATTGTGGCATGTACATCTATTAATTCCATCTGGCGATGCTCCTAATTATGGATAACTAGCTTGGATATGAATACCAGTTGTTTCTAATTAAATTGTTGTGATTTTTTTTAATAATTTAATATAAAAATAACTTGCTTTGTCGTCCATTCCTCTTTCATAAATAACACTTGCTACATTTGGTGAAATTACATAGTTCATTATTTTGAATAATAAAGGTTTTGAATTTTGTAATTTTTTATTTACAACTTCATGGAAATTGGATGCTGTAATTTTACCAGCTCGATGTAATTTCTACGTATTCAACAGGTTTTGAGTTTTACTCACTTCTTCCAATAAGTTAAAGATGCATTGAGAATAACTGTTCTTGTATTCATTAAATTTCGATAAGCAAAATTCTCCAAGCAAAGATTTGTCAAGATTATTTGCATCGTTGTCAAACGAAGAAGTAATTGGCTCTGGTAAAAAATATGTATCGTTTTCATCAGCAGTTGCAGTGTTGTCACTAAAACTATGATCCAATATTGGTGCTAGACCAACTACACTCGTAAAAAAAGCTGCTTCTGGGTTTATGTAAACTATTATTGCTAAACTTAACAACATTTTCAGAAAATGAGTAATTTTTTTTTGGATTTTTGATAATTTGTGTTGAAAAAGGTAGTTGATTTTTCATTGGATGCTTAAAATTAATGTTTTGTAACATTGATGGTTCTGCTTTTTTTCTAGATCTGTTCCACACACAAAGTTTGCTAGTAACTGCAACTTTATTTGCCTGAATTCTAACACATGCTTCTAGTTTAAATAGAAGAGCTGCTACATGGCTGCATACAGATCCAAGACTAAAAAATTAATATATATATATATATATATATATATATATATATATATATATATATATATATATATATATATATATATATATATATATATATATATAATTATTATTATTACAAAAAAGTATATAACCCAAGATTTTATTTGTAACTAATAAGACTTGTTTTATTTAATTTGTATATATTATTGTAAGGTTTTTAAAAAGTTTTTAATTTCATAACACTATGCAGGACCGTCCTAAACGGGGGAGGGGGAGGAGGGGGAGGATATAAGGGGTGTCCCCCTCCCCAAAGCAATTATATATGCATTTAAGTTGGCTCATTTGTACATATAGTACAAGTATAGTGTTGACAAATTTCAAATATCGAGGACCTTTATTTTTTATTTTTAATTTTTCAGGTCTCTAGTTGGTAAAAAACAAATACAACACCCCCATGAGAAACCGCCTGACACTATGTAACACAATTTTTGTTCCTTGCTTTTAAGTGTTATATTTCAATTGCTTTCGTCACATGTATTATATATATAATGTTTAGATTTTCTAAATTTACAATTGTACTGAGAATCACTTTCTCGAAGTAGATCCAAAAGTTAGTCCTCCATCATGTTTTCATTATACTCTCCTTTGTAACGACGTTTAAACTCTAGCATATCTTTATGAAAGCGCTAGCCTTGCTCCTCGAAGTAAGCACCATTGTTCTCCTTAAGTTCGTCGAGATGCAAATTAAGGATATAAACTTTCGGAGACATTCTGCATCCAAATTTTCCATAACTCTTTTATGAGAGTCTACAACCAAATCCACATACTTTTTAGCTTTGTGAACCAAGGGAGCCCTGAAAAACTACAACAAAACTGCTCTCCGTCCTGTTCAGCAGCTTTTCAAATTCATCACATTCTATGATCTTCTTGATCTGTGGTCCAACGAATATACCAGCCCTGACCATAGCCTCGGACTGCTTTAAAAAATGATCTTTTAGGTATTGAAATGCTGTTGACTCCTTGTCAAAAGCAGTGACAAGTTGCTTAATCAGGCCAAACTTAATGTGCAGCGGTGGCGTAAGCATTTTATGAGGTTTTATCAGCAGCTCCCACATCACATTGCTTTTCCGAACAGAAAACTCGGTCCATTGTGTCGAATGGTTTTCTTTGATGCCGCTTCCTCTGATCTGTATTTTGTACGCTATCATCAACCAAGTTCCACTGTTTAAGCCCGGAAATCATTTAAAGCCTGGAAAGCATTTAATTTTGTTAGCCCGAGGTCCCTAATTAAATTGTTCTCGTATTTCTAGTTAGGGAAATACGACTTTCTATCCCCAACTTTATCTGCGAAATCGTAGTCCATATCTATAGTATCTGCTGTGTGACATAAATAATCTTTATCCTTTCCGGATAAACAATCTGAGGAACATTTTTTCCGGTACAACAATTTTTTGGGTTTACCATGCAGAGGTAGCAGTTGGTTGAGTGGTCCATCGACCACACAAGCAACTGCTACCTCTTGCTTCGCCAAATTTTTGGAATAGCAAACTTCATGGCTCGTTTCACTCCTCTGTACCAACCTGTAACATAGCACAGAATAATACATAGGAATTATAATAAGTTAAGAAAATTTCAAAACATGGAGCGATTTCAAGATGGAAAGTATTTGCCTTTAGTACACGACTTATTAGAAAACTTTCTTAATTACAACTCTTTGAAATGAACTAGATCTAAAGTATTGAAATTTTATAAATAAATTAAAACTCATCTAAACGAGAAGCAACCATTCAATTTATCTTTAAGTGTTTTCTTGTAATATTCAAATGTGGAATGCGGTACCAAAGATTTGTCTTGGTCCTTAACTGGCACGCCAAAGTATGTTTTGTAGGCGTTGCACATCATATGACTTGTTTCCGTGGAATACTTTTTCGCTCTTGTCTTGATGAATTGTCTACAGACGTAGCAGAATGAATCAGCTGGATGCAAACAACCTCTTATTAACATTACATTCAACAATGTTTTTCAATACTATTTAACGAAAATTTAACTAATTTTAGATAATATTTATAAAACAATTACTAAAAGTTTAGCCTTATTGTTTAAAATGGCAGCCTACCTAGACAAATGTCACAAATCAATCACGTGTTAGTTCGAGTTAATAATGTTCGATTAAAATTAATTCGTGTTGATAATGCTCAATTTAATTAATTCGTATTAATAATGCTCGATTAAATTTAGTTCATGTTAATAATGCTCAATTAAAAGTAATTCGTGTAATAATGCTCGATTAAAAAGTAAGTTTAAAATCTTTACGTGGTTTTTTACAAAGTGTAAAAGAGGTGGCAAAATATTAAAATCCTCTAATGATTACTCTAATGATTTTATTTAAAACTTATTTTGTATCATTTGATGTCAAAAGATTCAAATATTGCAAGTTACATAATTACGTATTTTGCAAATTACGTAATAGCATTTTATACATTATATACTTTTCTACAGTATATACCGTTGAAATAGATTTCAATTTTTTAAGTATCAAGTTTAATTAAATGTTTTGGCGTTAAAGAAATAATGAAGTCTGTAGGTTACACAGAAATCTTTATGTGGGTTGCACAGAAACCTTTATGTGGGTTGCCCAGAAAATAATATGTGGATTGCAGAGAAACCTTTATGTGGGTTGCAAAGAAACCTTTGTGTGGAAGAGAGAACAGAGAAACCTTTATGTGGGTTGCAAGAGAAACCTTTATGTGGTTCTTTATTTTGCAATGTATCACAAAAAAAATTTTCGTTAAATTTGTCAAAGTCAATTTTTTTGTTTCTTGTATAGTATTTCTTGCTAAAGATAAAATGATGTTGTTAAAAGAATTTCGCCTGGCAAAAGATGCACGTTTAGTTAATTTCAAAGAGTGCATTTTGGGATGTTAAATTTTCAAAGTTTTAGGGCCCAATAAGGTCAAAAAACATAACTTTGTCACAATTAAATTTGCATTAGAAATACATTTTATCCAACGTGTTTTCTCTTCATTTTTAAGAAATCTAATAGTTGACGTTTTTGAATCATTTGACTTTTTCTTCTTTAATAAATAATTTATAGGAAAAGATATAAAACACAACGCACTTTTTATTGTTATTTGTAACCTTAAAAACTTCACTTTAACGATATTTATTTTATTGAATAAAGTAAGAAACAAAAAAATCATAAGTTGTCTTATTTTTGAGCAGTCAATATTTCTTTTTAAAATAAATTAATACCAAAAATTTAGAGTGCTTAAACAATACAAATATAATTTACACATTTATTGAAACTATTTAAAACTGTACAAAAATGTTTTTCCTAAAGTTACAAACACACAAATATAAATTTGTCTTGGTTAAATACAGGTCTTAAATATTTCGGTATTATTGGAATGGTATTAACCCAGTGGGCACCGGATCAAAAAAATACGTCTTTTGAACGTTCAAAAGACGTCCAAAACGTGGATAAGAGGTTTAAAAGACATCTTTTTTACGTCCGTATCAACTGGAAACAACAAACCAATTTATCTCTCAATATAAAAACACTTGTTTCTTTAGTGTGAAAATTAAAAGTGTAAAAATTAGAAAAATTTATAGTGTAAAAATTAGAAAAATTATAAAATGCTTAATAACCTAATTTATATTATCGGTACGTATTTGTAAATTTCTAGTCTTTTCGTAGTTTTATTGTACCACGATAAACATTGTAAACTAAAAAAAAATATTCAAAAAGTATTCATTATATATAAGAAATATTCATTGTTTTAAGAGAAGTTACAAGGACGTTAATGTCCGTCATGTCGCTTGGAAAATATTAAACCAGTAGTTTTCTATTTTTGTAATTTTCATCGTTTTTGAACATAATTAATTTTTTTATATTTTTAGGTCCACAAACTTTATTACAAGAATTTGAAAGACATTAAAAGCAATGACGAACGAACATTTCGTGAAAATTATTTTTATTCGTTTTTGATAACTCGACATCCTTTCGAAAGATTGATAGCAACATTTAGAAACAAGTTTGAAGACCCGTACACGTCATTTTTTCAAAAGTTATATGGTTCTCGTATACTTAGAAAATACCGACGAAACTTACCTCGTGATCAGATTCGTGCTGGTGTTGGAGTTACGTTTCAAGAATTTATTAAATACATTTTAAGTACTAGGTTTTATGACGAGCACTGGAACAGAATGACCGACATTTGTTCGCCGTGCAGTTATAAGTTTGATTATATAGCTAAAATGGAAACTCTTGTTGCAGATTCCAAAGCAATTTTAGAAAGTACTGGATTACATAAAAAATATCCTTTTCTTGAAAATTCAACTGACCGATATGAAAAAAAAACTAGTGACCTTATAGAATCTTACTTTTCAAATATATCAAAGTCGGATGTTTTAAAACTCTACAAAATATATAAAGATGATTTTGAAGCTTTCGATTATACTATTCCAAAATTTCTTGACGCCAACGTGTAATAACCTGAATTATTAGTTGAAATAAATATTTGCATTTAAATATAGACTTTAAATTAAAATGTTTCTATTTATCTATTTCAAACAAAGTTAAATTAACTATATTAGTAAATCGAAAAAAAATGTATAAATTTTTTACAAACACAGAAGGCCTTAAAATCTTAAGCTTTAAATTTACTAATATATAAAAATTCTCAATGATAAACTTCCTATAAAAGTTTAAAAAGAAAGTAATAAAGATTTATGCAATAAATCTAATAAAGACAAAAAACATAAAACATTAACCTTATGGAAAATAAGTAAAAATGATAAGGCAATAGTTATATGTTCATAGTCCTATTTATATGTCATATTCCTATTCTATATGTTCATTGTCCTATTTATATGTCATATTCATATTCTATATGTTCGTTGTCCTATTTAATTGTCATATTCCTATTCTTGCAGTTGAACTTCATAAGAAGTAAATTTTTGCTAAAACGTTTTTAAATTAGATATTAATTGAAAAAAAAATATTTTTTTGCCATTCGTAAAGATGCTGATTAAATTTATTTAAACCAGTACCTGCCTGGTGGGAAATTAGTTAGCAAATAGCTAGCGATTTTTGTAACGATACAATAGTTTTTCAAAACAATTTGGTTCCAATGAAAAGCTCCTCGAAATGAAATACATGATTTTCCGAAATTAGTTTGAAAAAAAGTTGTTGAATTAAATTATCATTTCTTAATTTGTATTTACTTTTAAAAGTAAATACAAATTAGTTTTCAATTTTTCAAGGTATATAGATTATGAAAAGAAAAATTGGATATGAACTAGTTTTACTTTTGTACACAAAACAAAGTTAAAAATATTCAACTGATAAATATTAAGAATTTTCATTTCAAATTAGAGAGGCTTGACATGAGCAAATCTGTTTTCAAAATTGATTAGACTAACAACATGCTTCTGCTGACAATAAAATGGTAGCAATATAGATTTATTGGTATTACCCCAGTAAGTGTATGCGTAATTTATATGGCAATCAATAAAAGAGAAATATAGTTTTGTTAAAGTATTGTTTTATTTAAAGTATTTCTTGCTTTATGCGTTGTTCCTATACTTTTAGCAACTTTTTGCACAAAAGTTCAATGTGTTATTTCCAGCTCAGGTATCTATGTTGATAAAAACATCAACATAGATACCTGAAAAGTAAGTATATATTTCTATTTTTATTTGCATTTTATCTGTAAAAGGAATGAGCATTTCATTAGGCAGGAATTTGTTTTGAAGTTGGATGAAAAAATGTCCATTTTATTTTATCAACCGTAAGCAACAATGTTTTTAAAGTTTTAAACTGTTCAATATCATGTGAATTTTTAAGGAATAATTCCCAAGATATTCAGTAATGTAAAACTGCAAATGTTGTTAATAACATCATAAAAACCGATAATTACGTTACAATAATTATTTATTATATTTAAAAATTTTAGGTACAGCCCATAAAAGATGTCAGTAATTTTTTTGAATTTTTTGACCTCTCACCCATTTTTTTTATCAACGTCTTCGCTTCCAACAAGGCTGTAAGCAACCACTAATAGAGTTGGAAGTTACAGGACAAAAAATATGAAGTTTATAGAGCGAGATAGCGATTGACAGACGATTTAAAGATTTCAAATTATATCAATCAAGATAGCAAGATGAAGGAAGCGAATTCCTAAGAACTGATGTTTTTTTTTTGATTTTTATTTGAGGAAAAAAACAAGATGAATAAGAGCTTTTGGAGAATTTAAGAACAGTCACAGTAAAAGCATGAGACTTAAGTGAATGGCGACTAACACGAGAATGAATTTTAGTAGATAGCACAAGAGACACTAGCTCTTTAGACCAGTGCCCGTTACAGTATTTGTAGAAAAAAGAAAGAGAAGCAACAATTCGACGATGTAATAATGGGTTGAAGTTGGCTGCAAGAGCATGTCCAACTATGCTTACAATACGTTTTTACACCTTGTCTAAAAGAGCAAGGGCATCATTTGAATATTCGCACCAGATGTTGCAACAGTATTCAATACACAGATGGATTTGAGATTTATAGAAATAAAGAATAGAACTTGAAGTAAAAAGTGCTGACCACGATAAAGAGTTGGAATCCTAGCAAATGCTAATTTTGCAATGGATTTGATATATGGTTTTCAAGAAAGATTGGAAGTAAGAGTTAGTCCTAGAAGATGAAGGGTAGATGATTTATCGAGTACATCACCGTTCATAAATATAAGAAAATCTAAATTATTGCAGTAACAATTGGCCGCAAAAAATTGAGTTTTATCTGAATTAAAGTTCACCAGCCACTGTTAGTTCCATTCTGTGGCAGTAGTGAGATTCTTTTTAAGCTCAAATACCTCCTCCAAGCAATCAGTGATTTTTCGCTTCTTAACAAGACAAGAATAAATGGTAGTACCATCAGCGAACAATTCAACCTTAGATATGAAAATATCTAGAAGATCGTTAATGTAAAACTAAAAAGAGTATACAGTCAAGGATTAAACCTTAAAGAACCCCTAAAGTTACATGATATGAAGAAGAGTGCAGTCCATCCAGAACAAATTTTATACTACAATTGGAAAGAAAAGAATTGAAAAACTTAAAGATGTTACCTGATACGCTGTGAGAAGAAAGCTTATGGAGTAGACCTGCATGCTAAACTTTATTAAAAACTTTAGAAATGTCAAGAACAATAGCCTTAACCTCTCCACCTCAATCTCATGTACAATGAAACCTATTAGTTATTACTGTTAGCAAATTGGCTGTAGAATATGAAGGTCAAAATTCATATTGATGATCATAAAGTAAATTATTAGATTTTAGATGATCTTAGATTTATCACTTTAGATGATCGCTTCATACACAGAAGCTTTAATTTTAAAATTAAAGCTAGAATTTTTAAAAATAGGGATAACAGAAGCTGCTTTCCAGCAGGCTGGAAAACAAGACTCTGATAAGCACTTGTTAAATAGTTTTAAAAGGATAGACGACAGCTCCGGAGAACACTTCTGCAAGACTATAACAGGTATGTTGTCCGGGCTGCAAGCTGTAGAAGAGTCTAAGCAGGAAATCACTTTAGATACAGAAGCTGGAGTAATACAAATGTCAAACAATGGATTAACCTGTTTGTCAGGTATATCGGGTAAAACGCAACTAGCGGAATCAAAAGATGGTATTGAGTAAAAGTTCTTAGCAAACAATTCAGCTTTGTCTTTTGATTGGTCAATTTGATAAAAAATAACAACATCAAGTTAGTGATAAAACAAGCGAGTGATAAAAAGAGTGCAGTCTTGAGATGAAAGAGAGCGATATAGAACAAAGAGAAAGGCGATAGAGTGAAGTGGTGCTAAACGAAAGCATATAAAAGAAAAGTCGGTGTATTCAAATCTAGTTTTCTGATAAATGGGTGAATTCTTACTTCTAAATGTAAATGTTCAGGCCAAGCATGCGAATATTGGAGTCTTTGCGAATTAAAGGAAGATCACACTGAGATCACAAGACGAGAAAACCGAACTTAAACTATTTTGAAAACAAGGTATTTATTATTGAGTTTTAGTTTTAGAACAAAAAAATTAACTATATCATAAGAATGAGAATTAAATTCATAAGTTTAATCAAAATAATAAACTTTGTAACTATTTTTTCTATTGGAACCACATTAACAGATAATATTAATTAGCCTTGCATTTAAGTTCCTTATACTAATGCGAATTTGTTTGACCTACAATATGGCATCGAAACAAAACTGTTTACATTGTGATGCCAATCAAGCATCATCTATAGGAAATCACGATTGTTTTAATTGATTATCATGCATGTTTTAATTAAAAGTGATGGTTGTTTTAAATGAAAATCATGTTTGTTTTAAATGGATGTTAATGTTTGTTTGTTTTAAATGTTCGTTTTAAATGGATATTTGTTTTAAATGGATATTTGTTTTAAATGGATGTTATGAATGGATGTTTGTTTTAAATGGATGTTATATTTTGATTTTGTTTGTATGTTATATTAAATGTTATATTTTGATTTACACAAATGTTTGTTTTAAATGGATGATATATTTGTTTGAAATGGATGCAAAACCCGGTGAGTAACATAATTTTTTTCATATCCTTTTTTAAAAAATATTATTTAAAAATACATTAACACTTTCATTTGGGCGGGAAAGTGGGTGATAGAAACAAATTATAATCAATTATTTATTTTTTATTAGTTAGGATTTGAACTGTTAAAACCTCTTTATCGTCATCAGAAACGCTCATGTCAAGCCTGAAAATATACTGCACATATTCTCCAGTGTTAATAATGACAGTAATAATGGCAGCTGTTTTGAAAAATATTTGCTTCACTAACGTAATTTTATTTTGGCTCTGATTGATCATTATGTAAAAAATCATCAGACTAGAAAAATTTGTCAGTGTTTTTTTTACCTTAATTGTTATTTTGCTAAAATCCTCGTTAACATAAATACGTTATCCAACAGTTTCTTCTTTATATACTTATCTAGCAAAGTTGATTTGTCCTAAAAGTTTAAAAACTCAACAACAGTAAACTACTTTTTTTAGTCGTATCATTTTTATATCAATTTTTCCAACACAATGCGCACGTTCTATAATAAAATATTTTTGAAGATCAAGTTTTGTTTCAATTGATTCGTGAATCTTACACAAACCTGAAATTACACAAAAAAAAAAAAAACAAGGAATAAAACAAACATTTTTGAAATGTAGGTAAGATTTGTCTATTGTTTAAAAGTAACTATGCATGAAATTAAATATTATCATAGAAATTGTAATAATCTGAAGGCATAGTAATTTTTAAGTCCTAGAGGTCTTGAAGTTTCCTGTTTTTAATTTTCAATCTATCGGAATACAGATTACGGAGCTGTTCAATAATCTTAGTGGTAATATGCTTGTCACAACGCTGTGGTAGCAAGAGTCACTCATCTGTAAACCTTAGCTTATAGTTGATGTTGCCATTCATGTTATATTGTAAGCCACGAATCTCAGTTACCTTAAAAACATATTTTCTGTTAGTAATAAATCCAAATACCTTCAAGTAAAAAAAATCCAATGACTTGAATGTATATATATTTGATATATTTAAAAATGTATGTAATATTTGATAAAACAATACCTTGGGGTCCCCAAGGTATTGTTTTATCAAATATTTACAGGTACATTAATAACATTATTTTTTAGTTTTTTCTCTATACATGCGTGCATTGAGTCGGCCTCCATTTGGGTATGCCCAACCTCTAAATACTTCTGCTCAATTTTTATTTGCTTTGAAATGGCTTTATTTATCAAAACATTCGACAATTTTGAATTTCTATTTTGTGACACGTAACCATTACTATATAAAATCAATTTAATATTGTTCTGCCTGTTGAGACTGGGAAAAAATTTCTGGATAATGAATTTTGCTATTATGCTTACATATTCTTCATCATTTTTTCCTCCCCCAATTTTATTCCAAAAGTAACAGTATTCGGCTTCTATTGTAGGATCAAATAAACAAAAACTATGAACACATAGCATTGTTTTATAATAAAGAGAAAAAACTTTTGATTTGGGGGCAAGCAAAACTGCTTGTACATCAACTATAAAAACAAATTCTTCCTGTTCTTTGTCTTTCTGTTTTTTAATTCGTGCTTCATTTTTTCTTTAAATGTGTTGGTTGTGGTCTAGGTCTGATATATAGCCAAGCTTGTGTGATAAACATTTTTCACAAAAATCCTTTTTAGGGTGGAATAGAGCAATATTTTCAGTCTCCATGGTAATGTTAAATCTTGCTAAAGACAAATGGGCAATGTTGTTCAATAAAAATCATTCATACACATAAAAATTATAAAGGGATCTTTCTGTAGACCATTCGTGTAAATCATTCAAAAGTTGATTTGCAACAGTAGTACAATTCCATTTTTAGCAAACTTCCAAAAAAATCTTCGAGTGAAGGTACTTCTATATAAAAGGGATTCTCTCTAGCCTTTTAAGATTCTACCAATGGTACTGTTTGATTGACGATTGACCTTGATTGTTTCCAAGCCCACATGGATGATTTTCCAAAACACAGAGTGTTTAAGAACATTTTCTTACAAACTCTGTACAATTTTTCTTTTTTGTTCAAATAATACTCAATTGAGCTAAGTCTTTTGGATTTTAAAGCATCCTTTCTGTTCTCGGTCTCTTGGTAGGAAAACATTTGGCAAGATTATCAATGTACACCTTCTTTTCTCCCCTAGTCATCTTCCAAAATCTTTCAAAGATTTCCGTTCAATCAGCGTTAAAATATACAAATATTGAAAGGCAGATTTGTTGTTTGATGCGCATTTACACCTTGGTTTTAGCCTTTTTGCGCTTTAAGGCACATCAGTGATTACTTTATTGCCTATTCTTTTTGCGACCAAAATTTTTTGTCCCTTTTCTCGATTAGAAAACTTTTTCTGATCTTTCCATGTGGATCTGTCAACGTGAAATCTTTTTCGCCTTTGAACTTTATTTGTCCCTCCTTCATCAGATTACAAGTCTGAATGCTTAGAACATGGGACCAAGGGAGCGTTATAATCTCTTTTATCGCTTATGTTATATTTTATCAATAGGGAGCTGTTACCGCAAGATATTTGTGGATCTTGAATTGGCACAAGAGCTTGACTGGAGACTCCAATCCCACTGTTGTGTGTATGTCATGCATTAGGAAAATCTTCTCATCGAAAACAGTAGTGTAACTTGGTAACATAAAATCTTCGTCAAAGATCAAAAAAGGAATTGTTTTGATTAAACTGTCTTTAAGAGAATTTGAAAAATCACTCTGCATTTTTCCACTACAATTACTAATGTTTTTGGTAAATGATATTTTGAAAATAAATAAGAAAACAAAACAGCTTACTGCAACATAATAACTCACAATTAAAAAAACTCCAAATTAACTACAAATAGGTTAACTCCATTAGTAACGAAAAATGTAATTATCAAACTTAATTTTACTGTTTTTGAAAACAAATATGCTTTAAAAATTGAAGTGTCTTACCATGGATTGATTCAGGTTTTTACATATTATGAAAACTTCAAATTTAAATTATTTTAAAAGCCAAAAGCTGGAGCTGTTGTAAAAGGCCTGTCTGACACTTTACAATACAAAATGGCTATATTGGCGGTATTAGTGATTCATTTTTTGTAAACCTGGAAATGGCTGGTATGTGTGCGGGTTTTTAAAGAATTTATTATTTTATTTGTATTCTGGCCGTTTTGCGTATTATAGAAAATTGAAAGATCAACAAAATGGCATCAAAATCTTTCGACCAAACATGAAGTTGGATGGTTTGCGGATTAAGCCATCGATACATCGATATTCATCGATACATCGATATTCATCGATACATCGATATTCATCGATACATCAATATTCATCGATACATCGATATTCATTTTTGTTTCAAAAAACGTTTTTGGCATTTTTTTAACTTTAAAAACTCTTTTAAACACTGATTTATCTTTTTTTTTTTTATAATATATATATGTTTACTGTTTATTTAATAAGAAATATAATTACAAAGAAACGTTTACATACCAAAAAAGTAGATTTATAAAAAACAGACAGGGGCTCAAAGAAGATACGGATGAATAAATTCTCCACAATCTTTTCATAGAGCCCCTATGTGGTCTGTACAAGTTAAAATAGAATAAGTTAAAAAAACATTGTACATCTTCAATATAATAAAATGGTTAAAGTTTGCATAAATATTTACATTAAATCAAGAAAGTAAATAATATCAATACAGTTTTAGTAATAGTCGTTTAAATATACTTAAATATACTCTGTTAAATATGTTATATCTGTTATATCTGTTAAATACAGGTAACTCTGTTAAATATCAAAATAAGAGCCAATTAAACAAGTAAAAAACTAAGAATAATGAAATTCAATTTTCATTTCGAAAAAAGAACAAAATTATTAATCTAATTTAAAAATTTCATTATTTATTACAAACTTAAAAGAATTTAACGATTTTATTGTATTTAAATTTTTTGTTTTTTGAAAAGTGTTCCATAGTTTTGGTCCGCGGCATGATATTTCATATTCAGAATTCTTGGCAATTTATAAGTATTCCATTGGTTTATTTTGAGAGAATACTTTTGTTTACATTTTTTGTAAACTTATCATGAAATTTTTTTAGAATCAAGCTGTTGTTACATTTATACATAAAAATTAGGTGTTGGTAAATGTTGATTTCATATATATTCATCATTTGCATGTCTTTCATTAATTGTTTTGCATGTTCATATTTTTTTTCTTCTTATAAATGTCTGAATGCATGTTTTTGTAGAGAAAATATTTTTTTAAGTTTTGTTAAATAATAGCCGATGCAATATCTGCAAATAAATTTTTGCATAAGTCGCAAACAAAATATTTTTTTATGTTTATTCATATATCTTTTTCAAATATTTTTTTTTACAGTGTCTTTGTGCAAATATTCCTAGACAGCCATATGAGTTGATAAATAATTTGTGTAACTGGTGAGCAATAAAGCAACTTGACCTGATGATATCTATTAAAGTATCTATTACTCAAGGATTTTTTCCAGATAGCTTGAAAATAAGAAAAATAACTCCAATCTTTAAAACAGGTGACCCTACAAACGTTACAAATTATCGTCCTATCTCAGTTTTACCAGTTTTTTCAAAAATATTAGAAAAAATAATGTATAACAGATTGTACATTTATCTTATTGACAATAAACTTCTTTATAAAAATCAGTGTGGTTTTCAAAGAAACAGTTCTACTGAACACGCTATTCTTCAAGTAACGCACAGTATCGCCGACTCTTTTTAGAATTTTCAATTTATTCTAGACATACTTATTGATTTCTCAAATACTTTTGACACTGTTAATCACTATATTTTACTGAAAAACCTGGAAAGCTATGGTATAAATATATAGCTATATGATAAAACCTAAACTAGTTTAAAAGTTATCTAAGTAACCGTAAACAACTTGTTTATAACAAGAAATCTTCGTCGATTTTTAACGAATATAACATCTGGTGTTCCCAAAGGATCCATACTTGGGCCACTCTTATTTTTAATACATATAGATGATCTTTACAAAGCTTCTAATTTAACGGCTATAACTTTTGCTGACGATACGAGTTTATTTCAATCATATGAAGACATTAAAATACTTTTTAACATTATGGCTGATGAACTTAAAAATATTTCATATTGGTTCAAAAAAATAGGTTGTCTTTAAATACAGATAAAACAAAATGGCTACTTTTTTATCGAACTTCTAAAAAAAAAAGAAAATTTAAAATATCTTGCCTGACTTACCTAATGACAGTACAGTATTAAAAAGAGAAAAAAATACAAAACTCTTTAGAGTCATAATAGATGAAAACTTATCTTTGAGGCAACAAATTAATAATATTTCTATGAAAATTGCTAAAAGCATTGAAGTTTTATATAAAGTTAGATATATATTAAATAAACATTAGTTAATACAGCTATATTATTCATTTATTCATTACCATTTAAATTATGCTAATATGATATGGGGAAGCAGTCACAAAACCAAACTTAAATCTCTCTATCGACTATCGACTTAAGAAACACGCAGCTAGCACAATTAGTTTTGCAAATCGTTTGTCAAGCTCAATACCACCTCTTAAAAAAATGAAAGTTTTGAATATTTACAAACTAAATGTTTTGAACATTTTATGTTTCATGTTTAAATGTAAAGAAAATATATCACCTAGTTTATTTATAAATCTTTATAATTTGAAACCTAAAAACAAATATGATCTTTGTGCCAATAAAGATATCGAAGAGCCATTTTGCCAAACTAAAATTGACCAGTTTTGCATTTCTTATCGTGGTCCTTCTCTATGGAATAAAATAATTTTACCTAATTTTGATTTTTCTTTTATATGGTCTTATTCTTCTTTTAAACGGAAAGTAAAAGAAAATATCTTTTCAACACAAAATATTTATATATATTTTTAGTACTTTAATTGTTTTTTTTTTGGTTTGTTTTTTTGATTTATACCTTATTTTGTTTATTATATAGACTGTAAAGAATATTAAAATGATCTTTTTTTTATATAGATTGTAAAGGGTTTCATGATAAGATCCTGCGATTTTCTAGAAGTCCTGCCGGTAATATATTCAATGTAAATTTACCTTGTACATAATTTGGCAAATAAATTGAAAAAAAAATTAGCATTTTTTCAGAACTTTTTTTCCTAACTTTTTTTTCGATCTTAGATATTAATAGTGCATAATTTGAAAAGTATATATAATATACATTTACTATTTATTAATCATAAAATTAAAATCAATTATTTGATTATTATTATTTTATTTTTTTAAAAAACTAAAACTAATTATATTTCATCTTATGAAACAACACTAGCTTATATAGATTAAAGCAATCTTTACGTAAGACTCATTACAATTTAGAGTACATAAATTAGTTAAAAAAAACCTTTAAATTTACAAAAACTTTTAATAATCTTCTTATATTCAACATAAATTAATTCGAAAATGCAAAGCATGAAAAGTTAATACTTTTAGATATTGTTTTCGTATGACCAATAGTTTGGTTCGGCTTAATTACTTTGTTATTTATATTTGAAATTAAAGCCTTGCAGGAAAATAAAATATAAACGAGACTTTGAAGTTGTAAAATTGTTTACGCGTGTTGAAAGTTGTAAGAAAATCTGTACCAATTGGTACAGATTTTCTTACAAAATAAAATATTAAAACTCTAAAATGGCTTAAAAGTTATCTAAGTAACCGTAAACAATTTGTTTATAACAAAGAATCTTCGTCACAATTTTTAACGAATATAACATGTGGTGTTCCCCGAGGTTCCATACTTGGGTCACTCTTATTTTTAATATATAAATATGATCTTTACAAAACTTCTAATTTAACGACTGTAACTTTTGCTGCCGATACGAGTTTATATTAGTCACACGAAGACATTAAAATACTTTTTAACAATATGACTGACGAACTTAAAAATATTTTATATTGGTTTAAAAAAAATAGGTTGTCTTTAAATACCGATAAAACAAAATGGATACTATTTTATCCAACTTCTGAAAAAAAAATTCAAAATATCTTGCCTCACTTATCTGTTAACAAAAAATACAAAATTCTTAGGATTCATAACATGAAGATCTTGGAGGCAACAAATCTTGGAGGCAACAAATTGATAATATTTCCATGAAAATTGCTAAAAGCATTGGAGTTCTATATAAATTTAGACATGTTTTATGATTAAATGTAAAGAAAATATATCACCTAGTGTATTTATAAATCTTTTTATTTGAAACCTAAAAACAAATATGATTCGTGCCAGTAAAAGTATCGAAGAGCCATTTTGCCAAACTAAAATTGACCAGTTGTATATTTCTTATCTTGGTCCTTTTCTTTGGAATAAAATAATTTTACCTAATTTTGATTTTTCTTTTAAATATTCTCATTCTTTTTTTAAACGTAAAAGAAATTATCTTTTCAACACAAAAAATTTATACCTATTTTTAGTACTTTAATTTTTTTGTTTTTTTGTTTTTTCGGTTTATACTTTATTTTGTTTATTATATAGACTGTGAAGAATATTCTATTTTTTTTTTTTTTTGTTATATAGATTGTAAAAGGCTTCATGATAAGATCCTGTGATCTTTTAGAAATTCTGCCTGTAATATATTCAATGTAAATTTACCTTGTATATATTTTGGCAAATAAATGAATTTAAAAAAAAAAAAAAAATTAGCATTTTTTCAAGACTTTTTTTCCTAAATTTTTTTTCGAAGACATTAATAGTGCACTTGCCACACCACTGTCCTGAACGACTTTATGGAAACCAACCTTGCCACACCACTTGTCCTTTCATGATTTTATGGAAACCAACCTGAGAAATGCTAACACAAGACATATAAATTAACTCGAAAAACAAAGCAATGCAAGCAAAAAGCAAACAAGCATGAAAAGTTAATTCTTTAAGATATTGTTTTCGTATGACCAATAGTTTGGTTCGGCTCGATTACTTTGTTATTGATTTTTGAAATTAAAGCCCTGCGGCGAAATAAAATATAAACGCGACTTTAAAGTTGTAAAGTTGTAAACGCAAGTTGAAAGTTGTAAGAAAATCAGTAGCCAAGTAACCAAGTAAGCATTTTTTTTACAACTTTAAAATCTTCATAGTTTATTTGTTAATAATACTAATTAATAAAACACTGATTTGCAATTTTAAAGGTTTTGTTCAGTTTATTTATGGACTCTAAATTGTAATGAGTCTTACATAAAGAGTGCTTTAATCTATATTAGCTCGTGTTGTTTGGTAAAAGGAAATATAATTGATTTTATTTATTTTTTTAAAATAATTTTAACTAATAGAAACACTGATGAAAAGTTTACGTAACTTTTAAAGAACTTAATATCTTTAAAAGATTGGATTTTAGAATGAGGAAATGACATCGAAATTAAGTTAGACTATACTGACCAGCGCGTTTCATGGTTTTTTAGGGTTAACTTACATGATTTTGGCATTCTATCTTTCAATATTGGTTTTTTGAAATCTAAATTGAGCTTTTACAGTCAAATTGCATCGAAACTAAGTTTTAATCAGTTTGATCGACGCTTTATTGCTTTTAGGGTCAACTTACATTAGTCTGGCATCCTACCTATAAAATTACAGACTTTTCAGGTCTAGAAATCCATTTCTAAAACCAATCTTACAATTAAATGCAGAAAAAGTTTAACAAAAAAGTCTGTTTTTATTTAGGAACTTAAAGTATAAAGTTTTTTACATCTTTGTTTCCGCTTTTCTGTATTTGCTCAGAAACCAATGAATAAAGTTTTGTTGCTAGCTACCTGGTAAGAGTGTAATAAAAGTATGGATATATCTAGTACATATAATACCATGGGTATAGCTAAAGAAAATGGTGGCCTGTCTCCTTTCAGCAAATTTTAAGAGTCTTGTTTCTCTTCGATACAAGAGACTTAAAAATATTTTTATTAAAAGGTATTTTATTGACCATGCATTTTTAACATAAATTACAAAGTTATGTAGAAAGGTTTAAAATTTGATTGTAATAAAATTTGGATTTTATAAAACCGCAAATTCTTCATTGTTCCAATAAGAACTACTCTGCTGTAAATAAATTGTCTTTTGCATTACTTTATTTTTGGTCTTTTTCAAAAAGTGTGAAAAGACCAAAGACTGGAAAAAAAATCAAAAAACCTTGAAATTGTAAGATACTTTAAGTTTTGCAACACTTTTCAACTCTTGTTGAAAAGGACTGTAATAAAATTACAGTCCTTTTCAACAAGAAAACAGCACATTCATATAACACTTTTTTTGAACATTTTTTACTCATTAAACAATTGTTTTTTTGTTTACAATAAAAAATTTCTGTGTTTTTTTTATTTGGTTATTTTTTTGTTTAACAAACCCATGTTGCAGTAGTTGTAAAGTAGGGGTTTAAATTCACTTGAGTGATAGTAAAAAATTTCCGGCATCGGGTTTGACACCACTAGGGCTTTGACACCTTTTCGCTACTCATTAGAAATCAATTTGTCCCCCTTAGGGAGCGTTTTGACACCCCCTCAGAAAACTTTTTTCCTCTATGATTTAGTATCAAACGGCCATTCTATGGAGGGGTTTTCCTCATCAGGGTTTTCCACTGATTTTTAAAACGGCACCTTGTTATTTTTACGCAAGTAAATATCATGTTTAAGCTTTTCACCAAATAACTCTCCATATATTAGCCAAATTCATTTTAGGCGGTACGCACACTTAAGCTCCCCATTTGATTCAATAAGTTGTGGAGTTCCACAAGGATCAATATTTGGACCTTTGCTGTTTTTAATTTATATTAATGATATTTATTTGTCATCAAAAATACTTAATTATATTATTTTTGCTGACGACACTAATGTTTTCTTTTCTGATTTAAATTAAAAAAAATTTTTTTTGTAATGTAAACACAGAACTAGCATATCTCAATGAGTGGTTTATAGCAAATAAACTCTCATTGAATATTGAAAAAACAAAATACATTTTGTTTGCTAAACTATCTAAATCCGAGAATCTTCCACTTACACTACCAAAACTAACTGTTAACAATATTAAAATAAAAAGAGTTTTTTTAATGAAAAGACTTAGAATAATTTTCAACGAACATTTAAATTGGAAAAGCCAAATAAAGCTAGTCGAGAACAAAGTCTCAAAGACTTTAGGGATAATGTATAAGACTAAACCTCTTTTGAATAAAATATGTTTAAAAAATGTATATTTTTCGTTTATACATAGTCGTACTAACTATTGTAATATTGCCTGGGAAAACAATCACTCATCTTTTCTAAAAACTATTTATACAAAACAAAAGTCGATTAGTTTCGGGCATGGATAGATACGAAATTGCCGAGCCGTTACTCAAGGAAATAAATGCCCTAAATATATACAAATTAAACATCTACCATAACTTGTTATTTATGTTTAAACTTCAAAACGAAATATTTCCAAAATATTTTTATAAAAACTTCTCTCTTATTAATCATAAATATAAAAAAAGAGCTATAAAAAAACACTAACTAAATTTAAACAATACTTACATTCTTTCATTTTTTTAATTATATATATATATATATATATATATATATATATATATATATATATATATATATATATATATATATATATATATATATATATATATATATATATATTCGCTAGCCGATTTCCCGCCGATTTCTCAATTTCCCGAATTCCCGATTAGCCGATTTCCCGAATAGCTAGCTATAATCGTTACGATAAAGACAGCGATTCGGCCACGAGGATCGCTAGCTTTTTTAAGTTAGCGAAAAGCTATCAATATTTGTAAAGATAAAGACAGCAATTTGGCTACGAGGACACCTAGCTTAATAAGATAAAGACTCACAAGCTATTGTTGCTACCGTCATATTGTAATAAAATCGCTATCAAAAATATTTTGGTTATAATAAAAAATAAAAAAATTTTTTCAAAATTTTTTGTTTTTATTATTTTCAAACTTTTTAGCTTTGTCAAACTTAAAAATAGTTTTTAAAACTTTTTAATTTTTTTAAACTTTTTTTAATTTCACTCTTTTATATATTATAGGAAGTTGTAAAACTTTATTTTATTTTTTCTATTTTTATGAAGGGGCTTGATGATAAGACATTTGGTCTTCTACTTGCCCCAGTCAGCTTGCAATTGTATAAATTTATTTGAATGTAAGGTTAACATTGTAAAATGTGTCAAATGACAAAAATAAATGAATAAATAAAAAAAAGTTTACGATGTAGGGATAAAAATAAAATGGTAGCTTCTCAGTTTGATAAAGTATCAACAAGTATTCTACATCTTAATATTTATACTTTTTCTGGCTTTTAAAACGCTTGAATTGTTTTATAATAATTTTAATTGTTTTATAGTAGTTTTAAATCAAAAAATTTGAATGGTCTACTCAAATACTATCGTTTACCCAGATCAGAAAGTGTACAAAAAAACCTAAATGTATAAAAAGTGTAAAAAAAATTATATGAAGTTGTTTAAAACAAGTTTATAAAAAGAGAGATAAATAAATACAAACAATTTTCCAGACATTGTTATTGCATATAAACAATAAGAAAAAAAGTGCAAAAAAAAAATAAAATAAATAACTAGCTGAAATAAAACTTGGTTTTCTTTCAATTGGAATTTGGTTTTGTTTTAATTTATACAGAGAAATAAGCTGTTGGTATAAAGAAATATAAATGGAAACAAGGTCTAAATTGTAATGAGTCTTACATAAAGATTCTTTAATCTATATTTGCTAGTGTTGTTTGATAAGATGAGTTTTAATTAAGTTAATTTTTTTATTTTATGTAAAAAATTTTTATTTTATGTAAAAAAAAAAAATAATTAACCAATTGATTTTAATTTTACGATTGAAAGTGATTTAGAAGATTTAGACATTTAGAATTTAACCCAAGTACTTTTTTCTTCTTTTTTGCATGGTTTCAACCAGCCGTTTTATATATGTTCTTATTAACACAATTTTCAATTTTACTCCAATTATAAAACTCCAATTCTATAAGACTAACATATATTGACTGATATATGTTAATCAGGCTGTCTTGGACCTCAGCAAACACCTTATGTATGAGTTCTAATACAATCAGATTAAATCAAAATATAAACAAAAAACACAACTTCTTTATACCGATGCTTACAATTTATTGTTCTAAGTGGAAACTAAAGATGTTTATAAAGGTATGTTAAAATAAATCTATTTTAGTGATTATTTGCGAGACTAATAAAAAGGTTGTCGGAAAATTCAAGGACGAATCTAATGGCCAATTCATCTAAGAATTTATCGATTTACGAGCTAAGATGTACTCTGCTCTTGAAGCTGGAGGATATAACAAGAAGATAACAAAAAGGTTAATTTATAAAGTTTTAATTATTTATACTATATAAAAATAATTTATGTATATTATTTAATGTTACTATATTTAAATAGAATGCATATATGTATATGTATATGTATATATATATATATATATATATATATATATATATATATATATATATATATATATATATATATATATATATATATATATATATATATATGTATATATATGTATATATATATATATATATATATATATATATATATATATATATATATATATATATATATATATATATATATATATATATATATATATATATATATGTATATGTATATAAATATATATATATGTGTGTGTGTGTGTATATATATATATATATATATATATATATATATATATATATATATATATATATATATATATACACACACACACACATATATATATATTTATATACATATACATATATATATATATATATATATATATATATATATATATATATATATATATATATATATATATATATATATATATATATTATATATATATATATATTTAAAAAGATTTCAACATTAAGAGAATTACGTTAGCAAGATATATTTTAAAATTAAACTCTAGTAGTTACCCATCCATGGGTTATTCAGATTAATTTTTTTCTAAGAACAAGTAGGCGCCTTAAAAAATTGTTTATTGCAAATGGCATCCATATTTTACGGCTATACTTCTAAAGATGTTCGTTCTCT